GTTATGGAGTTATGAATCTACAGTTATGAGATTATGAATCTACAGTTATGGAATTATGAATGTACAGTTATTGATCGAATTATGAACAAAGAGCTCTAACATTATGAACTTACAATTATGAACATATAGTGATAAAATTATGAACATAGAGCTCTAAAATTGTGAACATAGAGCTTCGGAAATTATGAATGTACAATTATGGAGTTATGAATGTACAGTTATGACGTTATGAATGTACAATTATAGAGTTATGAATGTACAGTTATAGAGTTATGAACGTACAGTTATGGAGTTATGAATGTATAGTTATTAACATATAGTAATAAAATTATGAACATATACTTCTATAACAAAGTGATCTGAAATTAAAAAAAAAAAAAAAAAAGGAGATAACAGTGCCTAACGGCACTGTTACCCGTGTCCAGCAAGCATGCTGGACACGGGTCCAAGGCATAACGATTGTTCAATTAATCCAAAATGCGATTTCAAATCCTGCCAAGAGTGAGGCCCAGAATCAAAATTTTAAATCTCACCTTCCGTAGTCCATGGAGTATTATCACGTACTTGTTGGCTTGTTGCTTGTGTTCTTCTTCTATTAACTTTTGAACAGAGCTATGCCGATTTCAAGTCCTGGAGTGACCCATGGAGCAAGATAGGTCAAATTATTATGTGGACTCGGATCCACTTCGCACAGTGGATTCGGGTCTCAAAATATACACTTTATATATTGAATGTTTACAAGTTACATACTGAATGTTCACAATTTGATATACTAAATGTTCACAATTTGAATTATGAACATTTAGTATGTAAATTGTGTATTTTGATCTGATTTCACCTTATAAGGTAGACCCGAATTCATCGCATAAGTGTCGGCAAGATAGAGCCCGAAACGAGAATTGGCTTTGTTGTTTGGTTGACCATGACTTATGACTTATGAGCAAGTAACGTGACCCTTGGAGCAAGTAGCGTGACCCTTGGAGCAAGATAGAATCTTAAACCACAATAATGACACATTTATTGCTTTGTTTGTTTCCTGGCCAACAATGAAAGAGATGTACTGGCCCGCATGGGTTGCTGAATTAGTTATAGAGGGAAAAGTTGGAAAAAATATAATGACCAGGATCGCGTCTCACCAGGAAGCAACATTTCAAAGTGAGGAGACTCCTTGTGTGCAGTAAGCAAAGATCTGTGGTTCATGTTCAATTGAATTAACATGATTTACATCCTCTCAGATGCTCTGTTGGGTCAAGGTGTGTGAGGCCCTTAGGGTTTGGAAAGAATGAAAGAGATGCACTGAACCTAAACATTGCTCACCACTCGTTAGTTTTTCGTATTTGCATATATAGTACATGGAAGACTTGTAAAAGTAGGCCACATACAGCTCTTTACTCTCTTTTCAAGTGGTTAATTTTTGCTAAATTGGATCCATATTATTGATATTCAGAGTATTTATGAATGGAGTATATAATTTCAGCAGAGTTGGACAGATTGTGTAATTATAAAGTTCTAAGTTTAATTCTTTCTGATAGTGACTTATTAGCCATCTTAGCTTCTCAATTTGAGACTATATATATATATATATATATATATATATATATATATATACGCGTCTGGAGAAGACGACTGACTTCGATCAATTGGTGTATATATGCGTGCAATGCAGGGTTTGGTTGGTTGGGATACCACTGCCCTTATTAGCTTTCACTTCTTAGCTCGCTCTAACAATATTATTAATGGCATTGTGTTCAAGAAATGAGTTCCTGGGTGGAGAAGAAAGTGTTGTGATTTTGGTACCCCAAGAGAGTGTGAATAAGATACAAAGGATTCCATCTTTCTTGCGGGGTTCCAACACCAATGGCGACTACGATCCTAAAGTGATTTCGCTAGGGCCATACCACCACGGCAAGCCGGAGTTGCAGCCCCTCCAGAGATTCAAGCACAAGGTGTTTGATAACTTCATTTTCGGCAGTCCCAAGGATGCTAATTTCTACAGGAAAAAAGTGTTGGAGGTAGTGGATGAGGCCAGGAGGTGTTATGTTGAAGGGGCCACAGATGAATTTGATGATTCCCAGTTTGCAGAAATGATGCTTCTGGATTCTTGTTTCTTACTATTCTATATACTATCAACGATGGATGGTTTTGAGGAGTTCTGGTACCTCACTACCTTTCAGATGTTTGATCAGATTGGGTATTCAGGTGGTTTCTTCTTACAACTTGACACTTTTTTGCTTGTTTAATGCTGTAGATATACTGTAGATATGGTCAATACTCAATAAGATGGACCATTAAAATATATGTTCAGTTTTAGTTTATCGCAAGCTCGATTGTATTGTATTATAGGGGCAAATTATGTCGTGCAACTGTGTGCACCATGGCATGATACATACAGGTTTAAATTCATAATTTTTATACTGTAGATTCATAATTTTATAAATATATGTTTATAATTATAGAGTTATATGTAAATAAATTGTATATTTTGATCTGGATCCACCTTGTAAGGTGGACCGGATCCATGGCATAATTGTTGACCATGCGAGGAGTCAGATTCGATTATGGGCTTAGTACAAAAAGGCCAGTAGCACGGAGCATCAATCTTTATGCTATGGACCTGTGTTCACACTACAGTGTGGACACGGAAACGCTGCCGTTAGTGGCACCGTTAGCTTTCACTTTTTATTTTTTATTTTATTATTATTATATAATTTCAGACCGCTTCGTTATAGGAGCATATGTTCATAATTTTATCACTATATGTTCATAATTGTAAGTTCATAATGTCAGAGTTCTGTGTTCATAATTTCATAACTGTACATTTATAATTCTATAACTGTACATTCATAATGCCGTAACTGTACATTCATAATTCAATAACTGTAAATTCATAATTTTTGAAGCTCTATGTTCATAATTTTAGAGCTCTATGTTCATAATTTTATCACTATATGTTCATAATTGTAAGTTCATAATGTCAGAGCTCTGTGTTCATAATTCAATACTGTACATTCATAATTCCATAACTGTACATTCATAATCCCATAACTGTACATTCATAACTCCATAACTGTACATTCATAATTTTTGAAGCTCTATGTTCACAATTTTAGAGCTTTATGTTCATAATGTCAGAGCTCTGTGTTCATAATTCCATAACTGTACATACATAATCCCATAATTGTACATTCATAACTTCATAACTGTACATTCATAACTCCATAACTGTACATTCATAATTTTCGAAGCTCTATGTTAACAATTTTAGAGCTCCATGTTCATAATTTTATCACTATATGTTCATAATTTCATAATTTCATAATTTCATAACTGTACATTCATAATTACATAACTGTATATTCATAATTACATAACTGTACATTCATAACGTCATAACTGTACATTCATAATCCCACAAAAGAATAACGCCATTAACGGCCAGACACGCGTCAATAGTTTTTTTATAACTTAAATGACGCGTTTTCCCTAAAAACGACGTCGTTTTGGGCTCGTGTCCACAATATCCAGGGCATACATATTTCCTGTCTACTATACTAATAAGAGCCCAAGAGAGTTAGGCCTATAATGGGTAAAAAAAAATGACGGTCAAATTTTTTAATCAAATGAATGGTTCAGATTGATCAGATTTTAATTTTTTCTTAAGATTTCATAATTTATCATTAATGAATATGATTATCCGTTAACTATTCCGTTAAATATTATCTTTTCCATTAATTTAGTTCACTATTAACTTACTCATTGATTTCAATAAAAAAAGTCTTAGGTTCGAACCACATCCCAATCAAAATTAGCATAATTAGTACTCTATTTTACTCTTAGTAAATTAAATAATAATTTAGTAGCTACAATAAAAAATAATATTATATATATATATATATATATATATATATATATATATATATATATATATATATATATATATATATAAAATTATATATAGAAACATTCACAAGGCTTAATAAGCACTATTCACAAAAGGATTTTATCAAAAGTATTAAATAATTAAAATGTTGAAATATACAATTCTATTTATTTTCCTGTTTATTTTTCTGAAAAATGAACCAAATACAAAAAGACAGTTTTTATTTGTGCAGCCAAAAACCAGAAAGAAAAATATTTTATGATAAAATAATTCATTTTTCAGAAGTTACTTTTATGCTTTCCAAACGGAGACTAACTGTTGAACAGAGCTGTGTTGCTCTAATTCGCAAGTAATTGAATAAACAAATTAAATTAGCCTCGCCCTCTATATGTTGTAGTAATTGTTATTTGGTTTAATATTTGGAGTGATGCTACTTTAAATATGAGTCATGCTAGCTAGACCAAACAATAAAAATTATTGTTCGGCCTGACCTAATCTAAAAAAAAAAAAAAAACAGAGTAAATTTTTGTTTTGGATTAGTTAAAACATGTCAACATGTCAAGTACCTTGTGGGCGAACTGAATGGCTAAATTTATTAATAGTTTCAGTCAATTAGAAAAAATTCCCGATGTCATATATATGTATATAATGATATCGTAAATATCATTTTATACATGATAAAATTTTATTTTAATTTACCAGTGAAGTATATAAATATGATTCCCCAAGCATACCATCCTACAAAAATTTAATTTCTGAATTAAATATAATATTACTTGAATAAAACACCCTTCGTTCTGGGCAAGTGGCCTGGCGTGACCCATGGAGCAAGATAGAATCCGAAACAAGAATTAGACATTTTTGGCTTTGTTGTTTGGTTGACCATGACTTATGACTTATGAGCAAGTAGCTAGCGTGACCCTTGGAGCAAGATACAATCTTAAACCACAACCACTACAATGAGATATTATATTTATTGCTTTGTTTCCTGGCCAAGTGGCCAACAATTATCTTTGGGTAGATGAAACTCTTTATGATGTAGAGGTTAAGGTGAGAGTGATTTATTAGTCATCTTCTCAATTTGAGACAATTAATTATAAACAATTTAGTCTATGGTCAGTCTATTTTTCCTTAGGTACGTGTTTAGTTTAGATTTGTCCACAGCTTTTCAGCTATGGTTCTCACCCGATTATCAGGAGAAGACGACCGACTTCAATTGGTGTATATATGCATGGTTTGGTTGGTTGGGATAATACCACTGCCCTTAGCTTTCACTTCTTAGCTCGCTCTAACAATATTAATGGCATTGTGTTCAAGAAATGAGTTCCTGGGTGGAGGAGAAAGTGTTGTGATGTTGGTACCCCAAGAGAGTGTGAATAAGATACAAAGGATTCCATCTTTCTTGCGGGGTTCCAACAGCAATGGCGACTACGATCCAAAAGTGATTTCGCTAGGGCCATACCACCACGGCAAGCCGGAGTTGCAGCCCCTCCAGAGATTCAAGCACAAAGTCTTTGATAACTTTATTTTCGGTAGTCCCAAGGATGCTAATTTCTACAGGAAAAAAGTGTTGGAGGTAGTGGATGAGGCCAGGAGGTGTTATGTTGAAGGGGCCACAGATGAATTTGATGATTCCCAGTTTGCAGAAATGATGCTTCTGGATTCTTGTTTCCTACTGTTCTATATACTATCAACGATGCATGGTTTTAAGGATTTCTGGAACCTCACTACCGTTCAGTTGTCTGATCAGATTGGGTATTCAGGTGATTTCTTCTTACAACTTGACACTTTTTTGCTTGAAAACCAGATCCCCCTATGGATTGTTGAGTTCTTGTTTAATGCTAGATTTGGTAGCTTTAGTACTACAACCACCGGTAGGGTTTCCTGGAAATATCTGCTTGTAAATCATTGCCAAACAAGTCTTTTTGCTGAGAAGTATAGGGTGGATGAAGATAGAAGAGATCATGAAAAGCCACTTCATCTATTAGAAGCTTTCCACATGCATATGGTGGGCAAATGTGAAATGCTTTCATCCTCCAACAAATCTGCAGGTAGGTGGCAAAAACTCAGGCCAATTAGAACTAATAACACACTAATAGTGTTGCAAAAAGAGGCATTTGAGAAGTATAGTTACATATTCCGTTCAGTCATGGATCTAAAGTCAAAGGGAATTCGTTTTGGCCATAGTGATAATATTTATTCCGTGATGAGCATCAAGTTTGAGTCTTACTATGTGTTTGCAAAACTAAAGCTTCCTATTTGGTATGCTTCCTCATCGAGTAGAGTTTTTCTCAGCAACATGATAGCTTATGAGTTGTGTCCCAACAACAGGACTTGCCTGGAGGTAACTTCTTACATAAATTTCATGAAATCGCTGATTGTTTGTCCCAATGATGTGAAAGAGTTGCGAGAAAAGCGCATCATATCTAATACTCTTGGAGACGACATGGAAGTAGTGAAGTTGTTCAAAGGGCTAAACACTCATGGAATTGACAATCCCGACATTTTTTCCGAGGTGAAGCAGAAACTTCAAAAGCACTATGATAGCAGAGCAAAGACGTGGATGGCAGAATTTGTATATACTTATCTTATAAGCCCTTGGTCCATCATCGCTTTACTCTCCGCTTTTCTTCTTCTTCTCTTAACTTCTGCACAAACTTATGTTGCCTTCAATCCGAGCAAGAAAGATTGATATTGGTAGGGATCGGAATTGAATTACAAAATTTGGTATGTTGTCCATCTATATGTTGTATTATTTGTTATTTGGTTTGGTATTTAGACTTTAGAGTGATAAAAATTTGGTACAGCTGTACGTACTTATTATATATAATTTTTCTTTTTTAGTTATGTGTAATTTCTATTTTGTTTGAAATTAAAAGTGTTACATGTTTTTTTTTTTGTGTGGTGCAAGTTAAGAAGTATTAAATTTATGAACAAATTAAAGAAGTTATGTTGTGTTAATATTATATAGTTCTATAATTGTTGTTTTCATATTGCATATTTGCATGCATATATGACGTTTAACTCTCATCAATAAGTGATCATATACCTAGAGTATGTAGTGTTGAAGAGATACTGGATGGACACACATGCATATATATACACTACACCATATTTATTTATTTATTTATTTATTTATTTATTACTGATACTCTCTAAGTAGCAACTGTGAACCGTCTATTGGCGTTAAGGGACAATGTTTTCATACCCCTTTTTACTCTCAAAGAAATAATGTTTGGTATTCTTTATATACAATGGGTAAACTCTGTCTTATGACGCTAGTTAGGATCTTTGTGCTAAGTGGACTGGCTGGTAAATACATTCAAATTTATTTACTTGATTGGTTTTCCTTTTTTTAAGGATTTTTTTAGAATGACGTCAATGAAAAATACTCATTCCATTCAAAGAAAAAATGATCTATTTTGGTGGAAAATATTTCTCAAAATTTTTTAAATAATACATCAAAATATTTACATTAAAATTAAACTTTTCAAAAAAGAAAAAACATTTTACTATGTGAAACTAGATTTATGTCTAGATGAAACTCTTTATGATGTGAAGGTACTATGTGCATTTATTTGATTTGTAATTTTCACCCATGACCTACCATTTGTTTTCACATTTATGTATAGGAAACGTACAAGTCTACTCCAATAAAATTCTAATCATACGTCATGATTTTATTGGAGCAAAACAACAAAAAGAAATGAATAAAATTGCAATTCAAAATTTTTAATTTTTTTAAAATTAATCAAAGTATGTAGTAAAAACTAAACTAAAAAAGTTTTGTTAGTGTTATACTTTTACACAAATAATTCTTTGCTATTGCTCACCACTGTGTAGTTTTCCATATATGCATTAATATAATATAATGCACAGTACATGGAAGACTTGTAAAAGTAGGCCACGGGTCTTTACTCTCTTCTTTTCACCAGTCTAGCAACTATACTCCGTAATAAATTGGGCAAATTAGAGCCATCCACATCCAGTACTATATAACATTTATAAGAGAATGGCCCGGGAACAATTAACCTTGTTCCTTGTACGAAGTAAGCAATAATTTAACATTTGCATGTGTTCACTTTATTACAAGGATAAAATTTGGGAATATTGCTTCGAGATCGAGTTTCACCAACGTAGTGTAGGGACAACCTCTTAAAATGAAGGAGTTTTTTTATGCGCAATAAATAAATATCTAGATTATGTGTTCAGCTGAGTTATCATGATTTACATTTTTATCAGACTTTACCTATGCATGTTGTATTATGAATGAATGTTGGGATCTACAACGATACTTTGATATGGTGTCTATTCAGTATGCTTCGAGATCAGTGAACACAGTTGCTCATGTCTTAGCTAGGGTGGCACATTCACAACCTGATCCTATTATTTGGTCTATTTCTTTCTCGGAACATTTGTTTTAATGAAATTTGGTTATGTGGTTTTTTTTAAAAAAATGCCATTTTAAGAAAAAAAATTCAACAAAAATGAAAATATAAATATTAATTAGATTTATAACAAGCCTCTATACTCGAGATAAATGATATTTTAAACATGAGTTAATGCCATTTAAACAATTTTGTTGATGAAGGACCCAAAATGATTATGTCACAAAAATACTAGGACCAAACTGAGATTACTTAAAAAAAAAAAAAAAAAAAAGAGAATAAAAATGAATTGATACCTATAAATCTATGATAAAAAAATGAAAATTAACTCTTTTAAACATCTATTTATAATATATTAACAATTGATGTCACTCAAAAACCCTAGCTCGTCTATAGACTACGATTATCTTTGGGTAGATGAAACTCTTTATGATGTGAAGCTTAATGTGTGACCAATTAATGACTACATTTATTATTTGAATTTCCACTAGCAACCTACCGATAGTACGTTGCTATGAAAATTATAAATGTATTTACAGAGAATACAATTCCGACAACATGTCCTATGATTTTATTGAGAAAAATAAATAAATAAAATAGTTGTGGCCTACATTAACTCATTATATATAATTACAAATTATTTTAATTCCTTATGATTATTTGCCATTGTTCAGCACTCAGTAGTTTTCCGTATATGCATATTATATTAGTGCATAGTACATATATCCGCCTGGCGAAGAGGACTGACTTCAATTGGTGTATATATGCATGGTTTGGTTGGTTGGGATACCAATCATATATATCACTGCCCTTAGCTTTCACCTCTTAGCTAGCTAGCTCGCTCTAACATTATATTATATTATATTAATGGCAGTGTCTTCAAGAAATGGGATCCTGGGTGGAGAAGAAAGTGGTTTGATGTGGTACCCCAGGAGAGTATGAATAAGATACAAAGGGTTCGATCTTTCTTGCTGCTTCTCTTCTTCTTCTTTTAACTTTGGCACAGACTTATGTTGCTTTCAACCCGCGCCATTGATTCAAACTTCTTTCAACCGATCGAGAGCAGGATTATTGAATTACAAAATTTGGTATGTATGTAGTTCATATGTATGTTAATTGTATTATTTGGTTTGAAATTTAGAGTGATAATAAAAATTTGGTACGGTATGTATGTACTTATTATATGTAATTTTCATCTTTTTTTTTTGTCATGTGTAATTTCTATTTTGTTTCAAATTAAGAGTGCTACATGATTTTTTTTTTATTTTTTTTTTTGGGTGCTGTAAGTTAAGGAGTGTTATGAACAAATATAGTTGATGGATACCCAGTATTTGGACCCAGTTGGATTGCCTAGCCTCGATTGACCCACCTAAACTCGGTCAAATTACCTACTAAAATTCAAATTGACTAGCCATTATGTTTACATTATCACCCATGAAACCTATTTACTACCCTATTTATCTACCTCATCCTAACCCCCAAAATTATTGCCCCATTAATTATCTTATTTCTAATTTCTATAACCAACCCACTAATGACCAAATTAATACCCTACTAAATTGTCCAACGGACACTATTTGGTTGGCTAGCTATAAGAAGGAGAAGAAGAGCACAAGGAGGGGGAATCCATTCCTACACACTAAAAGACTACATACTATTATTTCATCTCCAAGAAGACTCCTTCACTCTCCTAAAGGAGAACTCTCTCATACACTAAGGAGACTCTAATCCCAAGCATTCTTCCTACACCACTCTTCCAAGAGAAGACTATCACATACACAAGAGAGGATCATCTACTCTGATCTACCACTCTATCACTCTCCCTTCTATCATTCTTACTACATTACAAGAAAAGCACAAGACTTTGCACCGCCCAAAAAAGCCAGTGGTTTTCACCTTTCGATTTCTACGTAAAAAATCAGTGTGTCTAAATTCTTTCAAGTCCATAGAATTGTTTGAAAGGTGAATCCACCAACCACGGTTGTGTTGAACCTCCTTGCGCCCAAAAAATCTTAAAACCAACAATAGTATATTTATGTTGTGTTAATATTGTTATATAATTTTATAATTGCTGTGATCATATTGCATGCACATATAATAACGTAACGTTTGATTCTAAAAAATAAGTGACCATACCAAGAATGTTGAAGAGATAATGGATGGACATGCGCATATATGCACTACACATTTTTTTTTTTTTTTTTTTTTTTTACTGATTACTCACTGAGGTAGCAACTGTCTGTTGGTGTTAATGGCATTTTATTTATTTATTTATTTTGGGCCTTAAATGAATAGGCCAACTATTGGGCTCCAGTTTGCTACATTGTGTATGTGTTTTAAGTAGCCTCAATAGTGGGCAAATTATTGTATGCCAAATTATCGCAAATTATGCCCTGGAAACGTGTTCACCGTGAATGGTGAACACAAGACCAAACGACGTTGTTTTTAGGTATAAAAAAAAAAATCGCGGATGTGGAGTTAACGGCGCGCGTTTGATCAAATTATGAATTTTCTGTTATGAGATTATGAATGTAATGAAAATTCATAATGTCATAACAGAAAATTCATAATCGCATAACAGAAAATTCATAATCGCATAACAGAAAATTCATAATCTCATAACAGAAAATTAATAATCGCATAAAAGAAAATTCATAATCGCATAACAGAAAATTCATAATCTCATAACTGAAAATTCATAATCTCATAACAGAAAATTCATAATCTCATAACAGAAAATTCATAATCTTATAATAGAAAATTCATAATCTCATGGTTCCAAAGTGAATGTGTAGGCATGGTTCCAAAGTGAATGTGCAGGCATGGATTCATATATAATTTATGAATGTCCGTGATTTCGGACGGGAATGTGTAGGCATGGTTCCAAAGTGAATGTGCAGGCATGAATTCATAATTTATGAATGTCCGAAATCTTTGTTCACCTAAAATTAAAGTGAAACCGCAAAATGTGAAAATGAAGAAGAAAATTCACGCAATTAATTAAGAAAAAAAAAACTAAAAAAACTAACGGTGTACTAACACCGTTGGAACCGTGTTCACCATGAATGGTGAACACGGTTCCATGGCATAACTATTGCCAAATTATGCTCTGAGCTGGTGCACATGTATCTATATCTATAATTTTTATATTGTATATTCATAATTTTTATGCTGTAGATTCATAAATTTTTAGACTTTCGGTAAGCTAAAATTATGAATCTAAAATATAAATTTTAGCTCACCGAGAATCTCGAAATTATTGATATACAGTATAGAAATGATGGATCTGTAGTATAGAAATTATGAATATAGATTCGTGGTTAGAAATTATGAATCTAAAGTATAAATTTTAGCTCACTGAGAGTCTCAAAATTATAGATATACAATATATAAATTATGAATATAGATTTGTGGCACCATACAAGGTGAGCACGTGCTCACAGCATAAGGATTGTTATTGTGTGATCAATAGTGATACTCTCGTTCTCATTAGTTATAGTTTTTTCTTTAAAAAAAATATATTTTGAAATGATGACTTCATAAACTTGAGAAAAGAATGTAGCAGTTTGTACGGGTAGTTTAGTTTGTAGATTGTGAATAAAGATGTAAGATTGAGAAATAGTAAATATTGACTTCTTGTAAACATTAAGTATTAGCCCTCTGACATAAAACACTACTGAGTTACCGTGATTTGAGAACCGTGAGAGATTTTACATTTTTTTTGTGGTCAAGAAAAGAAGGTAGAAAATTAAAGGTGAATCAATGAATCATTAATAAGAGCTTTAATTGTGTGAAATTTAAGGGCAAATAGTATATAGATTAAAAAAAATAAGAATCAAAATAATTATATTTCATCAAAAATATATTGACGAAAAAGTTTTGTAATTTAAAACTTTTCGAACGATTCAATTATTGGTTATTAGTTTTTCAATCGGTTTGATTTTTTCTAACCCTTAATACAAATAGAATAAATAATTCGTGCCTGCACAAATTTTGTACATTAATTTAGTAGAGAGTATTTAAAAGAATAAAAATAAATAATTCGTTTTTTTTTTTTTTTTCCCTTTCGGGGCAAGGAACTGGATACATATAATAATGGGAAGTTTCAGAATCTGATCTTCATGTTGTTATGACGCATGCAAATACGTCATCATGAAAACATTATCTCTTTAAAATGATTCGTCCAGTTTGGACATGTCGTATGCTCTCTTTTAGAAAAAAAAAATATTATTAGCTTTGTATCTTATAACAAAAAGTTAAACAAAGTTTTTATTTTTAAAAATTAGTTAACTTCTTCTCTCTTTTCTTTTCTTTTGTTTTATTTTTATTTTTAACTTATTACAGGGCGTTTGGTTGGAGGGGGGGAAATATGTGGGAAAGGAATTGTAATACCATGGGAGTTGAATTACTGGGAATAAAGTGAGAATTTAAATTCCAGTGTTTGGTTGACAGGAATAGAATTACTGGGAATTTCAATTCCAATGTTTGGTATACATGGGAATTGAAAGGGAATAAGTAATATAAAGTCAAAAATGTCCATTATTGTTGTTAGACATTAATTTTAAGTTAAAAAATGAAGGGGTAATTTTGACTCATCACTATCTTTTTTTTTTTAGAAATTAAAATACCAGGGGGGACATGGGATTTTAATTCCATGAAAATGAGGGAATTGCAATTCCCTCCAACCAAACTACGGAATTTAATGGCCTTTGGAATTAGGTGAGAATTAAGTGGGAAGGAAATTTAAAATCCCTCCAACCAAACACCCTGTTAGTGTTAATTGCAATTTTGGTTTTAAAATAAGAGTGACCAAATTAATCTCTAAATTACAAAAGGAAAAATTGTAAAAAATGCTCCTCTAAAAAATATGTCAATTATCAATGTCACCCCTGAATTATGAGTGGTGTAAATGTTGCCCCTCAATTATTAAAACGGTGCATATATAGGCCCCCGTAACGGACATGTGGTTCCCCGTACATTAGTGTACAACACCATTAAGTCGAAGTAAATATGTAATTTAGTTGTTTTTTCCTTCCATCGATTCGAAGTACCAGCAATTGACAGTGGTGGGGAGGGGCTATATGTGTATCATTTTGATAATTAAGGGGCAACATTTACACCATTCATAATTCAGGGGTGACATTAATAATTGACATATTATAAAGAAACATTTTTTACAATTTTCCCATGTAATAAAGATATGTCAATGTCATCTGTAATTAAGTAATTATGCATTAATGTGTAATTTTGACTATACTCCTTGTCACATCAGTCTTTAGTTTCCCTTTAAAATTTGTATATGTTTTAATTGTCACAACCCTATAATTAGGGGATAAATTGGTTAGATATAAGTAGATTGATTGACTTTGATATAATGGAAGTGTCCAATTTCCAGTTCCCAACTACGCCTACCACGGTGCCCATTCAGGCATTCACTATAAAACTCACCTATATATATATCTGTCTATATCTATCTGATTATTATTCAGTAAAAAGCAAAACACACACAAATTGGGAGAATGGCACAACTTTTTGTGAAGCAGGCAAAACAATATTCTGAGGGAAGGCCATCATACCCACAAGAGCTTTTCCATTTCATTGCCTCTAAAACTCCATCTCATGATCTTGCCTGGGATGTCGGCACTGGTAGCGGCCAAGCTGCCAAATCAGTATGTCCTTTCTGGTCTGAACTTAAAATTTTATGATTAGTTAATCAATTATCTAAGATATTGGGATAGGTGAATTTGAAATTTTATAATTACTGAACCAATTATTTAACCAGCTCAGTTGGATTGACCATGTGTTGTCATATGATCTAGACTTTTATATATATTTAAGGTTGAATTTTATTTTATATAGCTAGCAGCTATATACAAGAATATGGTTGCCACGGACACGAGCCAGCAGCAACTGGAGTACGCAGCGAAGCTTCCCAACGTCCGATACGAACGCACCCCTCCCAAGATGTCGACGGCGGAGCTGGAAGCCTTAGTGGGAAAGGAATCGACGTTCGATCTGGTGACCGTAGCGCAAGCCATGCACTGGTTCGATCTGCCGGCGTTTTACCAGCAGGCGAGACGGGTGCTGAAGAAGCCCGACGGGGTAATCGCCGCGTGGTGCTACACGCTGGCCCAAGTCAACGAAGGCGTGGACGCCTTGCTGCACAAGCTCTACTTCGTGGATCTTGATCCCTACTGGGAATCGCCGAAGAAGCTGGTGGACGATGAGTACAAGAGCATCGAGTTCCCGTTCGAGGCGGTGGAAGGGTGCGCGGGTACTGGGCCGGTGGAGTTCACGGCGGAGCGAGTGATGGATTTGGAAGGGTATTTGACGTGGTTGAGGTCGTGGTCGGCGTACCAGACGGCGAAGCATAAGGGTGTGGAGGTGTTGGGCGAGGATGTTGTCGGGAGATTCAGGGATGCTTGGAATGAAGATGGGGGTGGCCAGAAACGTGTCACTTTCCCTGTTTTTCTGAGGATTGGAAAGGTTGGGAATGTGGACATGAATTCCTGATTTATGTCTTCTCCACAAAAAGCAAAATTCTCTGTGTTTGTTCCTATATCTTGATCTCATAGGATTGATAGATTATCAGAAGCATGACATGTTAAACCTATAAAATAAAAGATATGAATAAGTATTAGACTCAAGATTTCTAATAATGAATTTGAGACATATTTGATTTTTTTTTTTTTTTGGTGATGAGGAGAGCTCACAGTCATTACTCAAGGATGTGGTCATAGGGACATGATATAAATTCAGTTTTGTGACTTTAGTCTATAAAAAAACTGCAAGAAGATAAACCAGTGCAACATAAAAGTTGTCTATAACTGACTGAGTGAAGTTAAGAAAATCAATAGGTCACTCCATTCGAAATCAAACTTAAAAATTTGTTACCCACTTTAGTATTTTGCTTGAGCATGTGAACCAATCCTGTGAGTGATGTGATTGCAGCAAACTAGAGGAAACATTTTTTAAGGATAATACGGAGTATATGCATGTTTTCATGATGTTGACGTACTTGCATGCGTGATAATAAAAAAGTATAGCCACTTAAAGAGAAGTAGACAAATTGAAATAGTTTTGACCATGACATGTGTTGAATAATGGTTTATCCACTTAAATAGAAGTTGACAAAATTAAAGAATGGTGGATAAATAGATAATGCTGTGTGTTTGCTATATATTTACATGGCTAGCTTTGAAGTTTAATTGATCTCCATTCTCCAAGTGCATTATATAGCTCATTAGCTCTATAGGTTCAAGGATATGATATGATGATATATGAACATAAATGATGAATAAGTACATGTTTGGTTTCCATGCAATATAATCACACAATATAATTTTAAGAATGGTACAATGCTAAAGTGCTAATTGATATCATGCAGATTTGCATAAGGTACAATTCTACATACTATATATACATTATATTGTATTGAGAATTATTGATACACGTGTCCACACAATGTACTCAATACAATTTGACATACTATGAATGTATTGGATGGAGGCATGTTGAAGGACCAAGTTTAGTACGTACCATGAGATAGGTAGAAAGATTGTTGAGCGGAGGTCTAAAGGACCAATCTAGCACTTTGTCTATCTAAAATTATGTTACATGGTGGTATAAGAAAATATAGGTATGTTTTCACTATTATCTATAGCTTTTGGCATTATGATAAGCGTTTATTGATTTTAACTGCAGAATTATGGTTTTACCCATACCAATGCTCACCTTAATTAGACTTTTCCTAACACAACATAAACACAATGTTCATAAATTTAATAGCTCATCATACAAAAAAAAAAAAAAAAAAAAAAAGTGTCAATCCTTTCTAATCCTTTTCTTATTCAAATCCTTTCCGATGCTACCCTCTTTAGAAAGAAGTTTCAATCAATTGTGTTGATTGAAGGCAGCATAGGTTTGTGCAGAAGTTCAAATAAGAAGAACACAAGCAGCAAATAGAGCTATAATACTCCAAGGGCTTTTGAGATAAGTGTAGAGGAGTTCAGCCATCCACGTCTTTGCTTTGCTATCGTAGTGCTCTTGAATTTTCAACTTCACATCCCTGAAAATGACAAAATGTAGGAATTGTCAACTCCATATGTCTTCAGCCCTTTGAATAGCTGCACCACTTCCATGTCATCTCCAAGCGTGGTCTGTATGATGCGCTTTTCTCGCAACTCTTTCACATCTTCAGGACAGACAATCAATGATTTCATAAAGTTAACATAAGAAATGACCTCTAATTGTGTGCATCGATTGGAACACATCTCGTAAGCTATCATGTTGGAGAAGAAAACATTGGTGAGTGTGGTGGCACACCAAATAGGAAGTTTTAGTTTTCCATACATGTAGTTAGACTCAAACTGTATGCTCATCACAGAATAAATATTATCACTAGGAGCAAAATGAATACCCTTTGATTTCAGATCCATGACCGAACGAAATACGTAACCAAAATTTTCAAATGTCTCTTTTTGCAACGTTATTGTGCCTTGTTTTTTAGTGGGCATGATTTTGGACCACCAACCTAGAGTGGGTGGATCGGAGGGCAAAACCATTTGGGTGGTGTGAGATTTGCAGACCATCTGCATATGGAAAGCTTCCAATATATGAAGCGGTTTGCCATGTCGTTCCTCATCCTCCTTATAATCCACCACCCCAAAAAGATTTCTTTGGCAATACTTTACAAGTAGTTGATTCAATTCCATGAAATCCCAATGGTATTACCATATCTGGCAGTAAACAAGAAGTCAACAATCCAGAGGGGAACCTGGTTTTCAAACAAAAAGGTGTCATGTTGCATGAAGAAACAACCTGAATACCCAATATGCTCAAACATATAGGCACGGCAATACTTGAAGACATTATAAATAACATTCCCCCCTCCTGAATCCTGATAGGAGAAAATATAATAGGAAGCAAGCATCAAGAATCATCATTTCAACAAATTCAGAATCACCAAATTCATCTGTCGACCCACCGGCATAACACCTCCGGGCTGCATCCACCACCTCTAGCACCTTGTTTCTATAGAAATTAAGGTCCCAGTCGCCGCCGGAAATGAACTCCTCCAAGACTTTGTGTTTGAATCCCTCAAGAAGCTGCAGCTCCGGCTTGCCGTGGTGGTATGGCCCTAGAGAAACCACTTTAGGATCGTAGTCGTTGTTGCTGTTGCCGTTCTGGGAACGCAAGAAAGATGGAATTCTTTGTATCTTTTTTACACTCTGCTCGGGTACCATCATCATAGGACTGCCTTCTTCTCTCCCCCCTACACCTACCTTGATCTCAATCCTGTTAGACGATGCCATTAATGTTAGAGGAAGAGAAATGGCAGTGTTCAATTCGGAGTGTCATTCAGATCTTAAAGAAGTAAACCAAATATAGACCAATTATATTAAGTCCTCTTCTCCAACATAATTCCAACGACTAATTTGACTAATTGCTCTTCAATTCTGCCGGCCCAGCAATAGTCATTGCGCTGTTTTGTTTTTGACCAACTTAAATTCAGAAGGTTGGGATTCCGAACTAGTGATCTTATAATTACAAGTTTGTATGACAAGTGTTACCCTCTTATCCTATCTTTGTAAATTCATTTTTAGTGCTACAAGTTAGAGGTGAGCAAGAATCTTTCAAATTCACTCTTATCTTATTTGCATCCACTCAAAGTGGGTGGAATGAAAATTCATTTAGTATATGTTTGAAAACCTGAAAAATGATATCTAAAAAATGACAAATTTTTTTAATAAATATTTTAATTTTTTAGTGTTTGGCCAAAAATTAGAAAACTTTTTTTTTTTTTGTTTAGTTTAAAGTTAAAAAATTACATTTTTTATATTTTATTCATTTTCTTGTAAATGAATATATTATTTATAATAATAATAATAATAATATGTTGTGATGGTGGTGTTGGTGTTGGTGTTAGATTTTGCTTTTAAAAAGAACATGTAAGTAAAAGTGTTGTGATGCCATCATCTGTTTATCTGTAATCTATTTATTACCGATAAATAATAAAGCTTAGATGGATGATTTTGCTAAACTCAAGTGCTTCATTGGAACTTCATCAATAGTTGTTGAAGTTATTTGATTTTTCTTTTTCAAAGTAAAATTTAAAAAAAAAAATAGAAAAGAACTTCAACTTTCTAATGGTCAAAATAAATAATATGCTAGACCCACCCACCATGACTGCAAAGCGATGGAAAAAGCAAAACCAATCACGCAAGTAGCAAATAGACACTCCCCCAGTCTTATACATGCTTAAAAAGTGAGACTTTCCCTGTACATCCCCGCGCCTCTGGGAGAAATATACAGAGGAATTGAAGAAAATGGCAGATTTGTTCTTGAAGCAAGGAAAGCAGTACTCTGAGGGAAGACCCACCTACCCACAACAACTATTCGATTTCATAGCCTCAAAAACACCCCGCCATGACCTCGTCTGGGATGTCGGCACCGGCACCGGTCAGGCTGCCATGTCTGTAAGTCTTGCCTAGCTTCATACTTATTTCATACTTTTTATCTGCATCTGCAGTTCCCAAAATCCTATCTCTTCCACTCTTTCTTGAATAGTTAAGATCATATATGAGCATTCAAATCATTCCCTTAGCAATCAGATCCAAAATTTTCAATTGGTGGCTAAGAGATCGTTGGACGGATGCCTTAAGGGTCAAGTCGGGCCAAGTCCTGCACCTGTCTCTCGAAAAAGTCATAACTGTTTATAAAGAAATACAGTTCCGTCTTTGCTATTAGTTATAGTTTTTGGTATAGTACGTGATAAACGTTTTATCCTAATAAGTGATTAAGAGGCAGGTCACGCCTTCGTGTTTTATTTAGAACAAAAACTACCAATTATAGCTTTTTAAGCACTTGATTGTAACGAAATTGTTTTTGAAGTTAGGTGAGAAGTACAAGAATGTGGTCGGGACAGACACAAGCCCAAACCAACTCCAGTTTGCACCAAACCTCCCTAATGTCCGCTACGTCTGCACTTCTCCCAACATGACACTAGCCGAGCTAGAAGCCAACGTAGGAGCAGAATCCAGTGCCGATTTGGTGACCATTGCTCAAGCCCTGCACTGGTTTGATCTCCCAACTTTCTACCACCAAGTGAAATGGATACTCAAGAAACCGGCCGGAGTTATCGCCGCCTGGTGCTACTATTTGCCAGAGGTGAGCAGTTCAGTGGACTCAGTTTTCCTGAGATATTACACTGCCTCTGGTCCCTTCTGGGATCCTGCAAGAAAGTTGGTTGATGAGAAGTACAGGACCATTGATTTCCCGTTTGATCCAGTGGAGGGATGTGAACACAATGGGCCGTTTGAATTCAAGGCAGAGAGATTGATGGAGTTGGAGGGCTATTTCACGTATCTAAGATCATCTTCTGCTTACCAGACTGCAAAACACAAGGGTGTAGAGCTTCTGGGCAGTGATGTGATTGAAGATTTCACTCGAGCTTGGAATGAAGATGGCAAAACCCAGAAGATTGTTGCTTTTCCTATTTACCTCAGGATTGGGAAAGTTGGGAATTTAGATTGAAACCACTTCCCTTGTCTGGTAAGACAAGAATATGTGTTATTAAAATTACTCTTCTCAGCTAAATTTTAGAGTGAAAGAATAAGCATCTTGTTTAGAAAAAAAAGACTGTATCTTTAGCATCTTGTTTATTAAAAAAAAAAAAAAAAAGATAGAAAAAGACTGTATCTTTAATTGGTGGGAATAAAGTCATAAACTGAAAAAGGCATTAATGGCTGTAAAAGTCTTAGGAAAAGCAAAAACAAACACGCAACATAACGGAGAAAATCGACACTCCGATCCCCAGTCGTGCTTAACAAGCTAAGGGACTATAAATAAAACTATATATAAAAGGGAACCATTCTCCATAGATTTCCACACATCGCAGAGATACAGATCAGATCAGATCAGATCAGATAAAGAAAAATGGCAGATTTGTTCCTAAAGCAAGGGAAGCAATACTCTGAGGGAAGACCCACCTACCCACACCAACTCTTTGATTTCATAGCCTCAAAAACACCTTGCCATGACCTTGTCTGGGATGTTGGCACCGGCAGTGGTCAGGCTGCAGTGTCTGTAAGTCTTTCCTTCATTCATATTTCCACTCATTTTCTTCAATAATTACGTCAAAAGTTAGAGATAGTTAGTAACGAAAACCCAATTTTATTTTCTTATACTGTCTCATTTTCAAGAAATAGGATGTTGGACTATTTGGCCCTTCAGGTCTCTATCCAACAATCCCTTAGCCACCTGGTGCTGGACTTGATCCTTCACGGTCCTCCTACCAATCGAGCTTTAAGACGATTCACTTAGCAAAAAGACCCAAAATTAGCTAGGCAGATCAGATCGAGTAGTTTAAGTCAACTGGTTGTGTGTTTAATTTTGTTTTGTAGTTAGGTGAGAAGTACAAGAATGTGGTGGGCACAGACACAAGCCCAAATCAACTCCAGTTTGCACCAAACCTGCCTAATGTCCGCTTCGTCTGTACTCCTCCCAACATGACACTAGCCGAGCTAGAAGCCAACGTAGGAGCAGAATCAAGTGTTGATTTGGTGACAATTGCTCAAGCCCTGCACTGGTTTCATCTCCCAACTTTCTACCAGCAAGTGAAATGGGTACTCAAGAAACCGGACGGAGTTATCGCAGCCTGGTGCTACGATTTCCCAGAGGTGAGCAGTTCAGTAGACTCCATTTACCAGCGTTATTACACTACAAACCAGCACTTTTGGGAGCCTGGAAGAAAGCTGGTTGACCAGAAGTACAGGACCATTGATTTCCCGTTTGATCCAGTTGATGGATGTGAGCACAATGGGCCCTATGAATTCAAGGCACAGAAATTGATGGAGTTGGAGAGCTATTTCGCATACATAAGGTCGTCTTCCGGATACCAGACTGCAAAAAACAAGGGTGTAGAGATTCTGAGCAGTGATCTGGTTCAAGATTTCACTCGAGCTTGGAATGAAGATGGCAAAACCCAGAAGATTGTTGCATTTCCTATTTATCTTAGGATTGGGAAAGTTGGGATTTTAGATTGAAATTAAAGGTTTTTGATCGATATGATCCAATTGTTTTCCTTTCATTTTGGCTTTGAATGCTCACATTCATCCTAATTAAATTTTTATTATTCAGCAATGTAATGTAATGTGACAAACTTAGGTGAGACGTCACTGGAAGGATATAATAATTAATAATAATAATAAATTTATTATCAATTTCAATTTGCATAAACTTTTTATTGAGAAATATTTGATTATATTATATTTATTTCAACCTACAAAACCTCACATGCATATTCAATGTGTTCTAATTGGCTGACTGTCAGATAATAAAGAATCCTTTAATTTGATAGCCAGCCAGTTAGGCAATTATAATGTATTATATAGTATACATTTTATCATAATATGACTCTTTTATTGAAACGTAGTCTAATGTATATAATATAGTTTAGAAATAAGGGTCAAATAGGTCATCGAATATGAATCTACAATATAGAAATTATGAATCTACAGTATAGATGTTATGAATCTACAGTATAAAAATTATGAATCTACAGCTTAAAAATTATGGATCTATCCCGTTAACAACAAATGAAAAACAAAATTATGAATTTACGTTTTCAAAAAAAAATAAAAATTATGAATCTACAGTATAGAAATTATGAATTTATCCCTGTGTTCACTATGTCCATGGTGAACACGTTTCCACATCATAACTATCCCTGAATTTTGTTTGGTATAATTATGATTGGACCGGATTGCGAGATTATTAGGCCTTCATTATTAAACAAATTGATCATATTAATATTACTCCATTGAGTCTAGTGAAATATTATATATAATCCCAACACATAATAACATTTTTGTTTACTTATTTCAACAAGATAGATACTCATTTTGAAACATTATTTATATTACATATTTAAAAATGTTTCATGACAACCATGAAGTACTAAGTAAGGAATTGAAATACAATTTTTATTTAGGTAATTGAGGAGTACTAGCTAGTATTATTCTTTCCAACTTTCACTTCTATTATGATCAGTTGAGCTGGGCATGCCGACTACTAGCTAGTATTATTATAAGTAGAGATTGTGAGGTAATCTGGGTTCGACAAGTGCAAGGAGTGGGCTTCCAAGAAAGAGATCACGTTTACCCTCGGTTAAGGATATGCATGGCAAGGTAGGAGGGAGCTTCCAGGTGAAGCCATGAAGAAGCCTAGCCATCAACATTGTAGTCATCAAAGACCCTAGCTTAAAACCCGCACATCCTCGTCTCCCAGTACTAAACGACAACATCTTCAACTCCGGATCATTTAACTCCACTTCTCCACCGTCCTCCTTGAGGTGGCGCTCCGGCTTAAACATGAGAGGCTCCTCCCAAGCTCTTGCATTCCGGCCAAGTTTGATGCGGCTAAGGAGCACTTGACTGCCCTTGGGAATGGAGTAGCCACCCACCGCGGTGTCTGCCAGGGACACATGTGGGATGTTGAACGCCGCCACTGGGTGGAGGCGGAAGGCCTCTTTAAGACACGCCTTGACGTAGTTTAGTTTAGGCAAATCGGATTCCTCCACCACCCTCTCCTTCCCAACCACGCTGTCTATCTCTTCCACCGCTTTTTCCAGTAGTTTTGGTTGGTTTATCATCTCCGCCAGTGCCCATTCCACAGCGTTTGATGGATTATCCGTGCTTGCTAGCATCATTTCCTTTAATTTTGACCAAAAAAAAAGTTTTTTAGGGTTTTTCATTTCATGCATTGAGAAGGCTAATTAGATATATTCTACGTATAGTACTTACTGTAACTTGTGCTTTGATCTCTGTGTCACTCAACAATGGAGCTCCAGCATTATCCTTGAGCATAAGAAGAACATCGAGGAAGTCTTCTTTCACAGTTTTTATCCCATCTTTCCACATTTGCACCCTCTTGTCCACTTCGGTATCAAGGTGTTTTCTCATTACTATCATAGCTTTGTTGATGGTGCTTTTAGAGCCCTGGAGATCGAATATACCCAACCATGGGAGATGATCAGAAACTCCCAATCCGTAGAGAGTTTTAAGAAGTGCGAAGATGGCAGTAAGGAGCTCTTCTTGTTTTTGTTCCGCGTTTCCAAAGAACCTCTTGTTTAATACCATCTTGCTAATCACATTTCCACAGTACTGACGTGAGACAATCCGCACGTTAACAGCATGCATGCCGCCGGCGCCGGAGAGGTTGTAGATGTATTTAAGGAGGTTATTGGCTTCTTCTGCCCTTTTGTCGTGAAGCCAATGGAGCGCCGCCGGTGAAAGCACGTTAGAATGGACAATTTTCCGCATTTTCGTCCATTTATCGCCGGGGGTGAGAAAGATGGTGGACTGGTATCCGTTGCTGATAAGATCGGCGGTCATGCAAACGGGCCTGGACGAGAATACCGAGTCTTGACTCTTAAGGAACTCGCGAGCCAGCTCCGGGGAAGTCACCGGAATCACGTAACTGCCCCCGAGACGGATGCATGCGATTTCAGTCTTCATTTCATCCATGAACTTGTGTATCCACTGGAATGCAGGCTTTCCTGATCGGATCAGCTCCGGGAAAGATCCGACGAGGGGCCATGGTTTCGGCCCCGGAGGAATTGGCAGCTTCGACTCCTTTCTTCTGTTAATTAGCCAGCTTTGCCTTGTGATTACAGCAAGAAGTAGTATTAATAATGGAAGAAAGATTGAAGAAAATGTAATGTAGGAGTCCATAATACCGTACCACTGAAAGCTGTACGTAAAAGCATATGCAGTTTGCCCTATTTATAGATGTTACGTTCGTTGTTGATACGTGATGCATGATTGTTAGGTAGCAAAATTTATGACTCATTTCTGTAATTGCAGTTTGGAAATTACTGTAATTTGTAAAGTTAGATGTTGATTTTTTGTAACCTGTGGTAGGTAGTGTTAGATATACAATAGTCTAACTATATGAACCATAGTATACGAGAAACCTAACCTCGTATGATAGCGGAAGCGTAGCCATGTAGATCTCCAGCCATAGTTGATGTTCCTGTTGTGTTGCCTCTTAACGGTAGACCGTCAGCCATGTTTTGCCTCAGACCTGACTCAGAACCCTAGATGGTGTATTGGTGTCGGTCTGAGTACCGTAACTGAATGTGCTATCTAATCCATAATCCTGTATCCCATCAATCCAGGTTATATTAGGCACAGAGTTTGGTTGACTAACAACTACTAGTTATTAAGTCCAACCAGACCACTTAATAAGCCTAGTCAACTTGCACCACTTAATTAAGGCCCTAATATATAATATACAATATATATTATTAGGGAAAATCTTACAGGTAGTATTAATGTTCTGTCTAAACCATGCATGTACGGAGTAATTATTATTATTATTATTATTATTATTATTATTATTATTATTATTTTATGTTATTATATCTACATTCAAAATTGTTAGTTATTGTACGTAATTTTTAGCTTTTGTACTTGTTTTTCATTTCAAATCTCCTGATTGTAGTAATATTATGTTATGTCACTGATTATTATTATGTCTATTCATTGCATGCAATTATGAAATTTTATAATTTTGTCATGGTTATGTTTTGAAAAAATATTTGTTTTTATGGCAATTCGATATTGCATCTTTTTCGGTCTTTGTCATAATGATTTTGATCATCATTGAAAAAATCGCTAGGTGCTCATCAGGCGCTCGGAAAGTGCTAGGCGCTCGTGTATTTTTAAATTTATTATTTATTTTTTAAAAATTTGTTTAAAATTTTTAAGACTTAAATTGATAATTAAAATATATTTAATATTTTAATAGTTAATACTAAAATATTAAATATTAATCTAAAAACATCTAGAATTTGAATAATTTAGCATTACTTCGCTCAAAACGATGTCGTTTTGAGTAAAATAACTAATTTTTAAAAAGGGGAACAATAGCTAATCGATCGACTAAGCGACCTAATCAGCGCCTAGGCGGCTTAGTCGGTGCCTAAAAGGTCTAGGCGGCCTAGCTGGCCAACCACCTAGACCACCGATTATGGTGATACGCTAAGCGGTCGGCCAGCGCCTAGCGCCTAATCGCCGATTAATCGGTACCTAGGCGTGATATTTTCAACACTGATTTTGATTATGATTTTAAGAATCATATTTAATTTTGAAATTTCTTGAGAAGTACACTAGGAAATGGTAATAATGATGATTTTATGTGACATTTAATAATAATAATAATAATAATAATAATAATAATAATAATAATAATAATACTCCGCAATTGTAATTTGTACCGTACCCTGTGGTAGGTAATACGGAGTAGTAATTTGAAAATTACTACTACTCCGTATAGTAATTGTAATTTGTAACCTGTGGTAGGTAATACGGAGTAGTAATTTGGAAATTATTGTAATTTGTAAAGTTAGTTGTTGTTTTTTTATAACCTGTGGTAGGTAATATTAATGTTCTGTCTAAGCCATGCATGTTTTTATTATATCTACATTCAAAATTGTTAGTTATTGTAATTTTTAGCATTAGTACTTGTTTTTCATTTCAAATCTTGTAATATTATGTTATGTCACTGATTATTAATATGTCTATTCATTGCATGCAATTATGAAATTTTATAAATTTTTCATGGTTATGTTTTCAAAAAAATATTTGTTTTTATGGCAATTCGATATTGCATCTTTTTTAGTCTTTGTCATAATAATTTTGATTATGATTTTAAAAATCATATTTAATTTTAAAATTTCTTGAGAAGTAAACTAGGAAATGGTAATAATGATGATTTTATGTGAGTATGTGACATTTTTAATAATAGTAATAATACTTCGTAATAATAATAATAATAATAATTATTATTATTATTAAATGTTAAAAAAAAATTAGAGATACAACGTCGGGTTTTGTTCGTATCTCTTTTAAAAAAAAAAAATAGCAATACGAATTTCAGTTTTTGTAAAAATTAATCGCATTAATTTGCAATAAAAAAAAACAGAAATTATATAAATGGTAATGGTAAGCCATTCTCCTAAACGACACAAATAATAATATCTGAAACACAAATTATTTGAAAACAATAAAATCATCTTAGAAGCTTGGAAGGTTACATGAAAACAGTATAAATTTGTTTGTGTACCAGTGTCAATTCCAGTATACTCTCGGATGAACTCCATAACAAAAGACTATACATATATGGCATGTGAGTGTACCACAAGCCATAAATAAAATACAAGTCCAGGGGTTCACTTTTATTCTTCTGCCAAACTTCTATTTACACTTTTGGCTAGAAGGTATCTACAAACTATGGATGTTAAAAACATATAGCAACTTATGGATGTTAAAAACTATGGATATTAAATCCTAACATTTGATTAATGTCCTCATAAGCTAAGTTGGTCAGACTCGAACAATAAGCCAGCAAGGGGAGGTGAGAGCAAGAGAATGAGATCATAAACCAACAACTCCTTAGCAAGTTCACGATCACCAGATCGATTGCGGAGAAATATAGAACTCTGCATAAGAAATTCATATATCTGTTCTCTTAAGTCTTAAGCATCAAAATATTTGCTCCAACCTATTAAAGGCTAAGACTATTTATTAGTTTTACTGAGAATAAACAACTTTGAGCTATAAGCTACTAAACCTCTCGCCAACTTGGAGGATACAGGTACCTAAATGCCTACTATAGCATCATTACTTGCTACAATTGAGCTGTGAAAATCATGAAACAAAGGATCCAGACTGCTAAATGAATGATATATTTCTGGAGAAACATACATCAATATTGCTTCAATTCTATATTACTAATCTCACTTCATGTAGCAAATTTAAGTATTTTCATTCTATAAAGTAACAATCAAAAGTACACAATAAATTCACAAACACACTTAACTATGCATATAAACAAGTTTATACTGACTTCCATCAAAAAATTTAAATGTTTAGAGAATGAAGTTAAAATGAATATGTGTGTGTGCTTACTCAATTTTACATGATCTGGTGTCTGACTCTATTACAGCTCTTCTGTCCATAGACAATATCTCCAATAATCTGAACTGCATATCAAGGTTCAAATCTTTTTCAGTGCTCGGGATGAAGCAAACATAAAGAAGAGTGTTTATTATGACTTAAACTGTTATTAAAATTTCTCTTCTCAGCTAAATTGTAGAGTGAAAGAATAAGCATCTTGTTTAGAAAAAAGAAAAAGAAAGAAAAACTGTTGTATTATCTTTAATTGGTGGGAATAAAGTCATAATAAACTGCTTTGGCAACAATTTCTGAAATATGTATATCTGCAATTCTGTAAATGGAGGAAATTCGGAGCTTTCTTTTATCTCTGAAATAACCATGCATGCATGGGGACAATCTTGCCAGCATAGGAATCGATCTCTAGCAATGTACAAACGGTTTTTCTGAAATTGAGGATGATGATGACACCCACTGCATAATATTCCATTTCTAGCAAGTAACCAAATAATATTTATTAGAGTAAATACTCAAAATGGTCCCTCAACTATAGCTAAATTCACAAATTGGTCCTTGACTTTTAATTTCAACCAATTAAGTCCTTAACTTTGTAATTTTGACACGATTTGGTCCTCCATCTATTTGACCGCTTGTTGACCGTGATCGACGATCTCCAGAAGAACCTTCAGCTTTCGTCGGAGCACGTGGAGACCTCCAGGATGACGTTGCACTGGTTCGGAAACACGTCGTCGTCTTCGCTCTGGTACGAACTCAACTACATTGAATCCAAAGGGAGGATGAAGAAAGGCGACCGGATTTGGTAGATTGCGTTCGACAGTGGATTCAAATGTAACAGTGCAGTCTGGAAATACAACCACAACCTTAAAAAACCGACGATGGACCATTAAATTACATATATATCCTCAAAAATCATAGTCAACAAACAGTCAAATAGACAGAGGACCAAATTGTGTCAAAATTACAACGTTAAGGACTTAATTGGTTGAAATTGAAAATCGAGGACCAATTTATGAATTTAGCTATAGTCGAGGGACCATTTTGGGTATTTACTCTATTTATTAAATAGAAATAATGAAAACAACGGCTGAGTAATGCCTAAGGGATTTTAATTTTGTTCTATTTAACTGTGTACAAGGGTTTAGAATTTTATAAGTCATTATTCAAATTATAAATTGTCAAAGTTTTTATATGTTTACGAGAAATTGCATACCTATTAATCTATTATGTACAAAATTAAAACACGCTGTTTATATGATTTTTTTGTCTTCTAGCTAGCCTCCATCTAATAGGAGAGGCTACTAGGCTAGTGACCTAATATGGTCTGTACTACCTTATATTGACTTTTATTGAGTTCTTAATTCTTACAAGACTAGGCTTCAAAGAGCTAAACACATGTTCCAAGCTACTAATTTTGCTTGGTATGATTATGATTTAATTTTACTGTTATACTATGGATCAGAGTCTATTTTTTATTATGAATCTTGGTCCAAAACTTTAGTTATGTGCACCATTAATTTATTTGTAACCACAAATTATTAACGGTCCAGTTTAATTGCAGGCATATATATAATTTGAAAATTATTTTAAATTAGAATCTATAACGCAACGTAGACTTAGGTTCATGATATAATTTACCATTATGATTGGACTGGATTGCGAGATTATCAGGCCTCCATTATTAAACAAATTGATTATTAATATTTAGTCGGTAGAGTATAGCGAAATATTATTATATATAATCCCAACTAACCCATAATAAAATTTTCTTGATACAAAATTTGAAACATTACATATTTCAAAATGTTTCACGACAACCAATGAGTTGCAAGCTAGCTAAGGTAGGGTGGGAATTGAAATACTATTTTCTTCTCCCAAATTGTATTTGGAATACAATTTTTATTTAGGTAATTGAGGAGTACTAGCTAGTATTATTATAAGTAGAGATTGTGAGGTAATCTGGGTTTGACAACGGCAAGGAGTGGATTTTCAAGAAAGAGATCATCTTTAGCCTCGGTTAAGGATCTGCATGGCAAGGTAGGAGGGAGGTTCCAGGTGAAGCTTTGAAGAAGCCTAGCCATCAACATTGTAGTCATCAAAGACCCTAGCTTAACAGCCGGACATCCTCGACTCCCAGTACTAAACGCCAACAACTTCAACTCCGAATCATTTAAATCCACTTCTCCACCGCCCTCCTTGAGGTGGCGCTCCGGCTTAAACATCATAGGCTCCTCCCAAGCTTTTGCATTCCGGCCAAGCCCCACGCGGCTAAGGAGCACTTGACTACCCTTGGGAATGTAGTAGCCACCCACCACGGTGTTTGCCAGGGACACATGGGGGATGTTGAACGGCGCCACTGGGTGGAGGCGGAAGGCCTCTTTAATACACGCCTTCACGTAGTTTAGTTTAGGCAAATCGGATTCCTCCACTAGCCTCTCCCTCCCAACCACGTTGTCTATCTCTTCCACCGCTTTTTCCAGTAGTTTTGGTTGGTTTATCATCTCCGCTAGTGCCCATTCCACAGCGTTTGATGGATTATCCGTGGTTGCTAGCATCATTTCCTTTGACAAACAAAAAAAAAAACATGTTTTTTAGAAGACAATGTGGGTTTTCATGCATATATATATTCTACGTCTGTATAGTACTTACCAGAACTTGTGTTTTGATCTCTGTATCACTCAACAATGGTGTTCCAGCATTATCCTTGAGCGTAAGAAGAACATCGAGGATGTCTTGTTCCACAGTTTTTATCCCATCTTTCCACATTTGCACCCTCTTGTCCACTTCGGTATCAAGGTGTTTTCTCATTACTGACATAGCTTTCTTGATGATGCCTTTATAGCCGTCGATGTCGAATATACTCAACCATGGGAGATGATCTGAAACTCCGAATCCGTAGAGAGTTTGAAGAAGTGCGAACATGGCCTTAAGGAGCTCTTCTTCTTCTTCTCCGTTTCCAAAGAACCTCTTGTTGAATACCATCTTGCTAATCACATTTCCACAGTACTGGCGTGAGACAATCCGCACGTTAACAGCATGCATGCCTCCGGCGCCGGTACCGGAGATCTTGTTGCAGCACCGAGTGTAGATGTATTTAACGAGGTTATTGGCTTCTTCAGCCCTTTTGTCGTGAAGCCAATGGAGCGCCGCCGGTGAAAGCACGTGAGAATGGAGAACTTTTCGCATTTTCATCCATTTATCGCCGGGGGGGAGAAAGATGGAGGACTGGTATCCGTTGCTGATAAGATCGGCGGACATGCAAACGGGTCTGGACGCAAAGACCGAGCCTTGATTCTTAAGGAACTCGCGAGCCAGCTCCGGGGAAGTCACCGGAATCACGTAAGTGCCCCCCAGACGGATGCATGCGATTTCAGTCTTCATTTCATCCATGAAGTTGTGTATCCACCGGAATGCAGGCTTTCCTGATCGGAAAATCTCCGGGAAAGATCCGACGAGGGGCCATGGTTTCGGCCCGGGAGGAATTGGCAGCTTCGACTTCTTTCTTCTGTTAGTTAGCTGCCATTGCCTTGTGATTACAACAACAAGTATTATTAATAATGGAAGAAAGATACCACAGATTATGGCTGCCATTAATTTGCTACTTGCTGCCTAGCTTGGAGTGAACTGTAAAAGCATATGCAATTTGCCCTATTTATAGATGTTGTTGATACGTTATGCATGAATATGATTGGTAGCAAAAGTTATGACTCCTAGCCTTTCTGTAACTATTGCAGTTAATTTGGAAATTGTAATTTGTAACGGTGTTGACTAAATTTTTTTTTTTTTTTTTTTGTAATTACCTATGGTAGGTAACAATATTCTGTGTAACCCATGTTTTTAATATGTTGTTTCGTGGACTTGCTACATTCAAAAATGTTAGTTATTGTAATTTTTAGCTTTAGCAGTTGTTTTTCCATTTTAAATCTCCTAATTGTTGTAATAATATTATGTTATGTCACTGATTATTATGTCTATTCATTGCATGCAATTATGAAATTTTATAATTTTGACATAACATTATGATATTTGTAAATTGTAATTATGGAGTATGATTTTTATATCACGGTTATGTTTTGAAAAAAAAAAAAAAAAACATTTGTCTCAGTCTTGCCATAATGATTTTGATTATGATTTTAAGAATCATATTTTAAAATTTCATTGTGTTAGGGATGTTTGGTTCAAGTGATACGTACAACAAAACCAAAGAAATGTAACATTCTAAAACTTACATTTCTATTTGGTTCATGTTATCTTACTTTCTCAAGGGAATACAACATACCTTCTATATTAAATTTTGATGGGAATGTGATTCCCTCATGATTCTTAAGGTATTTCCTCATAAACTTACATTTATGACTCCTTTATGTAATTATTGCAGTTTGGAAATTGTAATTTGTAAAGTTGTTGATTTTTTTAAAACTATGGTAGGTAATAATGTTCTGTCTAAGTCATGTTTTTACTTTTTAATATGTTATTTTGTGGACTTGCTACATTAAAAAATGTTGGTTATTGTATTTTTTGTAACCTATGGTAGGTAATATTCCGTAAGCCATGTTTTTATTATGTTGTTTTGTGGACTTGCTACGTTCAAAAATGTTGGTAATTGTAATTTTCAGCATTATTAATTAGCAATTGCTTTTTTTATTTTAAATCTCCTAATTGTTGTAATATCATGTAATTAAATACTATGCCTATTAATTGCAATTATGGAATTTCGCAATTTTGATGATATTTAAAATTATGGAGGTGTGATTTTTGTATCATGGTTATGTTTTGGAAAAAGAATTTGTTGAATTTGTTTTTATGGCAATATATTCAATGCTGCATCTTTTTCTTCAAGGAATGCAACATACCGTTCACATTGAATTTTAATTTGAAGGAAGGTGATTTCCTCACAATTCTTATGTTATCTACGACTCATGTGCATGGTCTATACTATCTCAAATATTTTCAGTTCAAAGAATTTAAGCATCTCACCACTAGGTTCAAACATATGACAACCCATTTAGAATAGTAACCGGGATGTCATCACAATACAAAAAAATATGTTAATTATAATTATTATAATATTTAATAATAATTAAAACATATATATGACAACCATATCTCCAAAAAAAAAAAAACAACAAACATATCTCCAAAAAAAAAAAAAAAAAAAAAAAAAAAAAAAAAACCTGACAACCCATTTAGCTTATTAATTATATGTATCATATTTAATTATTTTTGTAACTATTTATTTTATAAAGTAATTTTGTTTCTCAAGTTCAAGCTCTCTTAATTAATTTTTTTAAATCTTTTACTCAGTACTTGTATATATGTTACCATTGTCCTATTTATTTATTTTAATTTTAAAGTTATTGAAATACATGAAAATATGTTAATGTTATTAAAGTAAAAATAAACAATTATAACATAAAAGATAACTCCTAAATCAAACAAATTTATATTACATACCTAAATTTTAATCAAATAAAGGAATCTAATATTTCCAACAAGCACACGAAAATGAAAGTCTTTTCCTTAGGTAAACTATTAAGAATTTGAAAGATTTCCCGTCAATTATTCTTCTTCCCAAGAATAATTGACGAGAAATATTTCCAATTCCCATCAATTATTATTTTAGTGTGAAAATGTAAACTATGGAAAAATTTATTGAGAAGTAAACTTGTTATATGGTAATAATGACGATATTATGTGACATTTAATAATAATAATAATAATAATAATAATAATAATAATAATAATAATAATAATAATAATAATAATAATAATAATTATTATTATTATTATTATTATTATTATTATTATTATTATTATTATTATTTGGTCATGATTAAGAAAATTAATTATTTCGTAATTATTAGTATGTAATAATTATTATAGTAGTAACGATTATCAATAGTTAAACTGATGGATCATTGAATTGTATTATATTATTATTACTATCATCATTAGTTTTAGAATTTGATAATATGATTTTGATTCATATAATTTTGAAAAAAATTCATTTTGGTCCAAAACATATATATTTGCTAATAGTGATAATATTATGTAACATTTTAAAAATGATTCCCATTGAATGTCAAAGGTTACGATCGAGAAAATTAATTGTTCTATTATTACTTTTATATGATAATTATTAATATTATATTATTATAGTAATAACGATAACGATTATTGGTTTTTTTGAAATGAGAAATCAATATGTTGTTACGTTATTATCATATGGTCTATACTTTTTCAAATATTTCCAGTTCAAAGAATTTAAACATCTCACCACTAGGTTCAAACATATGACAACCCATTTAGAATAGTAACCGGGATGTCATCACAATACATGAAAATATGTTAACTATAATTATTATAATATTTAATAATAATTAAAACCTATGACAACCATATCTCCCAAAAAAAAAAAAAAAAAAAAAAAAAAAAAAAAAACAAAAAACTGACAACCCATTTAGCTTATTAATTATATGTATCATATTTAATTATTTTTGTAACTATTTATTTTATAAAGTAATTTTGTTTCTCAAGTTCAAGCTCTCTTAATTAATTTTTTAAAATCTTTTACTCAGTACTTATATATATGTTACCATTGTCCTATTTATTTCTTTTAATTTTAAAGTTATTGAAATACATGAAAATATGTTAATGTTATTAAAGTAAAAATGAACAATTATAACATAAAAGATAACTCCTAAATCAAACAAATTTATATTACATACCTAAATTTTAATCAAATAAAGGAATCTAATATTCCCAACAAGCACATGAAAATGAAAGTCTTTTTCTTAGGTAAACTATTAAGAATTTGAAAGATTTCCCGTCAATTATTCTTCTTCCAAGAATAATTGACGGGAAATCTTTCCAATTCCCATAAATTATTATTTTAGTGTGAAAATGTAAACTATGGAAAAATTTCTTGAGAAGTAAACTTGTTATATGGTAATAATGACGATATTATGTTACATTTAATAATAATAATAATAATAATACTAATAATAATAATAATAATAATTGTTATTATTATTATTTGGTCATGGTTAAGAAAATTAATTATTTCTTAATTATTGGTATGTAATAATTATTATAGTAGTAACGATTATCAATAGTTAAATTGATGGATCATTGTATTGTATTATATTATTATTACTATCATCATTAGTTTTAGAATTTGATAATATGATTTTGAATCATATAATTTTGAAAAAATTCATTTTGGTCCAAAACATATATATTTGCTAATAGTGATAAGATTATGTAACATTTTAAAAATGATTCCCATTGAATGTCCAAGGTTACGATCGAGAAAATTAATTGTTCTATTATTACTTTTATATGATAATTATTAATATTATATTATTATAGTAATAACGATAACGATTATTGTTTTTTTTTGAAATGAGAAATCAATATGTTGTTACGTTATTATCATATGGTCTATACTTTCTCAAATATTTTCAATTCAAAGAATTTAAGCATCTCACCACTAGGTTCAAACATATGACAAACCATTTAGAATAGTAACCGGGATGTCATCACAATACATGAAAATATGTTAATTATAATTATTATAATATTTAATAATAATTAAAACCTATGACAACCATATCTCCAAAAAAAAAAAAAAAAAAAAAAAAAAAACCTGACAACCCATTTAGCTTATTAATTATATGTATCATATTTAATTATTTTTGTAACTATTTATTTTATAAAGTAATTTTGTTTCTCAAGTTCAAGCTCTCTTAATTAATTTTTTAAAATCTTTTACTCAGTACTTATATATATGTCACCATTGTCCTATTTATTTATTTTAATTTTAAAGTTATTGAAATACATGAAAATATGTTAATGTTATTAAAGTAAAAATAAACAATTATAACATAAAAGATAACTCCTAAATCAAACAAATTTATATTACATACCTAAATTTTAATCAAATAAAGGAATCTAATATTCCCAACAAGCACACGAAAATGAAAGCCTTTTCCTTAGGTAAACTATTAAGAATTTGAAAGATTTCCCGTCAATTATTCTTCTTCCCAATAATAATTGACGGGAAATCTTTCCAATTCCCATCAATTATTATTTTAGTGTGAAAATGTAAACTATGGAAAAATTTCTTGAGAAGTAAATTTGTTATATGATAATAATGACGATATTATGTGACATTTAATAATAATAATAATAATAATAATAATAATAATAATAATAATAATAATTATTATTATTATTATTATTATTATTTGGTCATGGTTAAGAAAATTAATTATTTCTTAATTATTGGTATGTAATAATTATTATAGTAGTAACGATTATCAATAGTTAAACTGATGGATCATTGAATTGTATTATATTATTATTACTATCATCATTAGTTTTAGAATAAGATAATATGATTTTGAATCATATAATTTTGAAAAAATTCATTTTGGTCCAAAACATATATATTTGCTGATAGTGATAATATTATGTAACATTTTAAAAATGATTCCCATTGAATGTCAAAGGTTACGATCGAGAAAATTAATTGTTCTATTATTACTTTTATATGATAATTATTAATATTATATTATTATAGTAATAACGATAACGATTATTGGTTTTTTTGAAATGAAAAATCAATATGTTGTTACGTTATTATCATATGGTCTATATATTCTCAAATATTTTCAGTTCAAAGAATTTAAGCATCTCACCACTAGGTTCAAACATATAACAACCCAGTTAGAATAGTAACCGGGATGTCATCACAATACATGAAAATATGTTAATTATAATTATTATAATATTTAATAATAATTAAAACCTATGACAACCATATCTCCAAAAAAAAAAAAAAAAAAAAAAAAAAAAAAAAAAACCTGACCACCCATTTAGCTTATTAATTATATATATCATATTTAATTATTTTTGTAACTATTTATTTTATAAAGTAATTTTGTTTCTCAAGTTCAAGCTCTCTTAATTAATTTTTTAAAATCTTTTACTCAGTACTTATATATATGTTGCCATTGTCCTATTTATTTATTTTAATTTTAAAGTTATTGAAATACATGAAAATATGTTAATGTTATTAAAGTAAAAATGAACAATTATAACATAAAAGATAACTCCTAAATCAAATAAATTTATATTACATACCTAAATTTTAATCAAATAAAGGAATCTAATATTCCCAACAAGCACACGAAAAGGAAAGTCTTTTCCTTAGGTAAACTATTAAGAATTTGAAAGATCCCATCAATTATTATTTTAGTGTGAAAATGTAAACTATGAAAAAATTTCTTGAGAAGTAAACTTGTTATATGGTAATAATGACGATATTATGTGACATTTAATAATAATAATAATAATAATAATAATAATAATACTAATAATAATAATAATAATAATAATAATTATTATTATTATTATTATTTGGTCATGGTTAAGAAAATTAATTATTTCTTAATTATTGGTATGTAATAATTATTATAGTAGTAACGATTATCAATAGTTAAACTGATGGATCATTGAATTGTATTATATTATTATTACTATCATCATTACTTTTAGAATTTGATAATATGATTTTGAATCATATAATTTTGAAAAAATTCATTTTGGTCCAAAACATATATATTTGCTAATAGTGATAATATTATGTAACATTTTAAAAATGATTCCCATTGAATGTCAAAGGTTACGATCGAGAAAATTAATTGTTCTATTATTACTTTTATATGATAATTATTAATATTATATTATTATAGTAATAACGATAACAATTATTGGTTTTTTTGAAATGAGAAATCAATATGTTGTTACGTTATTATCATATGGTCTATACTTTCTCAAATATTTTTAGTTCAAAGAATTTAAGCATCTCACCACTAGGTTCAAACATATGACAACCCAGTTAGAATAGTAACCGGGATGTCATCACAATACATGAAAATATGTTAATTATTATTATTATAATATTTAATAATAATTAAAACCTATGACAACCATATCTCCAAAAAAAAAAAAAAAAAAAAAAAAAAAAACAACCTGACAACCCATTTAACTTATTAATTATATGTATCATATTTAATTATTTTTGTAACTATTTATTTTATAAAGTAATTTTGTTTCTCAAGTTCAAGCTCTCTTAATTAATTTTTTAAAATCTTTTACTCAGTACTTATATATATGTTACCATTGTCCTATTTATTTATTTTAATTTTAAAGTTATTGAAATACATGAAAATATGTTAATGTTATTAAAGTAAAAATGAACAATTATAACATAAAAGATAACTCCTTAATCAAATAAATTTATATTACATACCTAAATTTTAATCAAATAAAGGAATCTAATATTCCCAACAAGCACACGAAAAGGAAAGTCTTTTCCTTAGGTAAACTATTAAGAATTTGAAAGATCCCATCAATTATTATTTTAGTGTGAAAATGTAAACTATGAAAAAATTTCTTGAGAAGTAAACTTGTTATATGGTAATAATGACGATATTATGTGACATTTAATAATAATAATAATAATAATACTACTACTAATTATTATTATTATTATTATTATTATTATTTGGTCATGGTTAAAAAAATTAATTATTTCTTAATTATTGGTATGTAATAATTATTATAGTAGTAACGATTATCAATAGTTAAACTGATGGATCATTGAATTGTATTATATTATTATTACTATCATCATTACTTTTAGAATTTGATAATATGATTTTGAATCATATAATTTTGAAAAAAATCATTTTGGTCCAAAACATATATATTTGATAATAGTGATAATATTATGTAACATTTTAAAAATGATTCCCATTGAATGTCAAAAGGTTACGATCGAGAAAATTAATTGTTTTATTATTATTTTTATATGATAATTATTAATATTATATTATTATAGTAATAAGGATAACAATTATTGGTTTTTTTGAAATGAGAAATCAATATGTTGTTACGTTATTATCATATGGTCTATACTTTCTCAAATATTTTTAGTTCAAAGAATTTAAGCATCTCACCACTAGGTTCAAACATATGACAACCCATTTAGAATAGTAACCGGGATGTCATCATAATACATTAAAATATATTAATTATAATTATTATAATATTTAATAATAATTAAAACCTATGACAACCATATCTCCAAAAAAAAAAAAACCTGACAACCCATTTAGCTTATTAATTATATGTATCATATTTAATTATTTTTGTAACTATTTATTTTATAAAGTAATTTTGTTTCTCAAGTTCAAGCTCTCTTAATTAATTTTTTAAAATCTTTTACTCAGTACTTATATATATGTTACCATTGTCCTATTTATTTATTTTAATTTTAAAGTTATTGAAATACATGAAAATATGTTAATGTTATTAAAGTAAAAATAAACAATTATAACATAAAAGATAACTCCTAAATCAAACAAATTTATATTACATACCTAAATTTTAATCAAATAAAGGAATCTAATATTTCCAACAAGCACACGAAAATGAAAGTCTTTTCCTTAGGTAAACTATTAAGAATTTGAAAGATTTCCCGTCAATTATTCTTCTTCCCAAGAATAATTGACGGGAAATCTTTCCAATTCCCATCAATTATTATTTTAGTGTGAAAATGTAAACTATGGAAAAATTTCTTGAGAAGTAAACTTGTTATATGGTAATAATGACGATATTATGTGACATTTAATAATAATAATAATAATAATAATAATAATTATTATTATTATTATTATTATTATTATTATTTGGTCGTGGTTAAGAAAATTAATTATTTCTTAATTATTGGTATGTAATAATTATTATAGTAGTAACGATTATCAATAGTTAAACTGATGGATCATTGAATTGTATTATATTATTATTACTATCATCATTAGTTTTAGAATTTGATAATATGATTTTGGATCATATAATTTTGAAAAAATTCATTTTGGTCCAAAACATATATATTTGTGAATAGTGATAATATTATGTAACATTTTAAAAATGATTCCCATTGAATGTCAAAGGTTACGATCAAGAAAATTAATTGTTCTATTATTACTTTTATATGACAATTATTAATATTATATTATTATAGTAATAACGATAACGATTATTGATTTTTTTTGAAATGAGAAATCAATATGTTGTTACGTTATTATCATTATTGTTTCGGTGAGATGTCACTAGAAGGATTTAAAAAATAAATAATAATAATAAATTTATTATTATTTTCATCAATTTGCATAAATTTTTATTCAGAAAAATGCTTGAATTATTCTAACACTGAAAATCTCACATATTCAACATGTTTTAATTGGTTGACTATCAAATAAAGATTCTACTGATTAATTAGATAGTCAGCCAATTATAATGTATTATACCATACATAATTTTTTTTTTAATTTTTAAATTTTTATCATAATTAATATTAGTCTTTTATTGAAACTTCTATAGAGGAAAAGAAGATAGCCATCGATCAAGCAAGGCCAAGCATTCCTTTGGTTTGTATTCTGGAGCTGTGTGACCTGCACCCTACGAAATTCATCACATTTATTCATCATTGGCACATAATAATATATGGATTTAAGTTCTCGTGCGGGTGAGGGCTTCAGGTGCGGTTGTGCGGTTTAATCTGAGTCATCCATCTCGCTTTAATCAACGTCCAGGATTATCAAAGTTTTAAAAAAAAAAACGCGGTGGCAATCTTGTAATTTTTGTATCTAGGTCAAAATTAAGGTGAGCGGATCTGTGATTAATGTGTGTGAGTTTTGTGCTTAATGTGTGTATGTTTTGTGCTTAATGTGCGTGAGGTTTGTGCTTAATGTGCGAGGGGATGTGCTTAACGTGAATAGTTGTTAAAAGTTAAAGTCTGTGAGTGAATACTTAAAGTGCGTGAGTTTTGTGCTTAATGTGCGTGATGTTTGTGCTTAATGTGCGTGAGTTTTGTACTTGGTTGTTGAAACTTAAAGTCTATGAGTTAATATTTAAAGTGCGTGGGTTTTGTACTTAATGTGCGTGAGGTTGTGCTTAATGTGTGTGGGTTTTGTACTTAAAGTGCGTGAGTTTGTGATTAAGATCTAACACTTAAGGTGCACCAAGCCTGCGACTTGCCTTGGGCTTTGGCAAAACCCTCCAGCAAAGCTGCGCTACTCCTAAGCAAGATAAAAGGAGAAATCCAAATTCAAAGTATAGAGTTGATGAGTTGAATGAGTCTCCTCCTCGCCTTCCTGGTATTCGCACCCTGGGCTTTGGCAAGCGTTTTTTTTTTTTTTTTTTTTTTTTTTTTTTTAATTTTCATTGATTTGAGTCGTTGATATAAATTTGATCAACTGCTCAGATTTAACCGCACAACCGCACGGAAAGCTATACCCGCACCAGAACCCTTCCCATAATATATGAGTGGACAAATATATAACTAAGGATTTTTTTTTACCTTCACAGTTGCAAATGTGAGATAGAATTCATTTCCTGATCTCTTGTATCTTTCGTAATACCTACACAAACATTACCTATTCAATTACACTAACCCATAATAAATAAATAAATAAATATATATATATATATATATATATATATATATATATATATATATATATATAGTACAATCCATCTAATTAGTTACTTAAATGGAAAACCTACCCTGCAATTTGGCCATTCACAAACCAAGGCTTCCAATTGCAATCCACTGTCAAATTTAGAGAGTGTATCCAACTCAAAGTGCCAAGGTATGGAATATTCATGTCATGGTCACCACTACAATAATAAGCAAGTTCGAATTTCGTTATTACCAAAAACTCATACTAATCAAGTAATCAGAAATAGAATATGTAACAAATCGCAATCATGCTTTCGTTACTTGATGATGGATGAAAATTGAAATTTTTTTGTAATGTTTTGCAATGACTAGAATGACGGACTATACCTACTGAATTAAATATGCATTTTTCATGATTATATTATAAGTGACTGGGATTTGAGTGATTTGACTTCACCTGTATACCAAAACTTGAAATGGTGTAGAATTACTGAAAAGCTGATGATACTCTAAAGCACTTGGTACATCTGATTCAAAAGCTAAGCTTTTATTGCATCTTTTCCAGTCTGATATGCTTCCCTGATCAATAAACCAATGAGTAAGATAATTGTCATGGAGGGACTCTTAGTTCTCAATATTTTTAGGTAGAAATATATGCTTACTTTTTCAATGCCAAGAGCTTCTTGGACACTTGGATCATTTGCCCAGAAATAAGAGGGAATGTAATTGTGGTTCTGCACAAAAGTAGAGACCAAATATAAGCTAAGTTGATAAATATGATGATGAAATTATGCATGTAAAATGGTGTTTTGCTCTGCAACAGAAAGGGCAAGGGGATCGGAGTTACACGACACCAAGGTTCCTCTTCACTTCTGAGGAAGATGTCAATGTCAATCTGTGTCATAGAAGTTGTTGTTTCATCAGATTGATGATCTTCTTTGCCTAAATTTGGATTGGGAGCACTGAATTTGCAGGTTGGCTCCAGAACATTGCCCAGAAATATGCCTTCAATGCACTGCACGTACACAATTTTAAATGGTCACCCAATTCATGGTGAATCTTATTAATTGATTAATCACCTGCTGAATAGGCTGAAGAGCATAGAGGCACTTGAAGTTAGATGGATCTGGGTTTACATATTCCCCATTACAGCTACTCTCTGCAAACTGATCGTAATGCAACGCATTTGGTAACCATTTCAGATTATCATCATGGAGAGATAATATGCAAAAGAAAATGGACTAAAGGAATTAAACCACCTTGTAATATTCATCAGAGATGATTGCCAGCTTGTGAGCATATGGGATTCTCCAGTTAGTGTCATGGTTACTATTTGTACAAGGGTTGCCAATGATGTAGCCCTGCATCAATTTTTGTAAAAATTACATGGCTTAGCACCAGCAGGTGTATTTTTTGTTATAGTGATCGAGTACTATCAACATTAGTGTCAATAATAATTCCTGGTACGTACTATCAACATTTGTACCGATAGACACCATAAAAATGTGTCAGAATCAATCGCTACCACTATGCCAAAAATATAGCTAGTAGTGAAACCTCCAAGCCACAACATCTGCCAACCTCAATTGCACGCTTATCACTATGCCAAAAGTTATAGCTAATAGCAAAGACGCAATTTTATTTTCTTATACTTGTGTAGCAGTTAGAGCCACTGCACATTTTGATGGCAGAATGTTGGACTCGGCTCTTCAAGCCTCAACCCAACAACATGTATTATTCAGGACAAAACAGTTGAAGAGTCTTGAAATCTGAGATCATACCTGGATAAGCATGCGTGGCTCTGAACCATTTTCAATGCCTGCATGCAATCACATAAATCAGAATATATATATATATATATATATATATATATATATATATATATATATACATCTTCAATTCTGCAAATGGAGATCGAAGTGAGTTTTATGGAGGAAATTCTGGCCTTTCTTTATCTCTGAAACAACCATGGGGACAATCTTGCCAGCATAGGAATCTCCAGCAATGTACAAACGGTTTTTCTGAAATTGAGGATGATCTGACAGCCACTGCATAATAATATTCCATTTGTTGTCCCCATTATAACAGCAGCCTTTGAGGTATCAAATTTCATTTCATTTGCAGAAGTAGAAGAACAAGAACATTAATGCATTTTTGCTACCTTCTGAAGAAACATATAAAGATGGTTGGTCCATGTTGTGTCTGTGGATGGGTAATTTTTCGGGCTTTTGGCATACGAAAATCCAGTTCCAACCGGAGAATCTATGAATATAATGCTTGCAATCTGTGAATTAATTAATTAGATTTCCCAACAATGTTATATTCATAATATGACAAAACAGGTCCAAAACAAAGAAATGGGATAAGTCTTAACTGTCTAAGCTAAGCAAGAAAGTGCACCTTTGTCCATGAATATGGATTTAGGTTGATTGAGGGCAATGTTCCATCAAAAGAAGGAAGGTCGAAAGTAAATGGACCTACAAAAAATTATTTGTTATAAAGATTTGTCACTTTTAATAGGTATTCTTGAGATATCACGTCAATTGTATGTATACATATATGAAAACGTGAACCTAGCTACAAATTATTATTATGAAATTATGACGAAATGAAATACCAATTTCATAGGTAAGACCAGACAGGCCAGAACAACCAGGGCCACCAGTTAGCCAAAGCACCAAAGGGTCTTTCTCGGCATTCTTTTCGGACTCAACAAAATAGTAGAACAGTTGCACATCCTCATACTCCCCCACACCAATGTACCTACACATACATAAACAAAATGAATCCATATGCCCTCTTTGGTAAAATAGTTAGCCTATAGGTTAATTTTGGCTTATTTGACCACTATTAATTTTTTGACTTGATTTAAAAATAAATATAAGTGTTTGGTTAATTAGCTTTTTGTATTCCAAAATGTTAAAATTCATAAAGCTACTCAAAATAACTTTTTCAATTAACTTTTTAAGAAAAGAAATTATACCAAATAGCTATCAGCTAATTTACCAAACACTTTTCTATCATAATTAATTCAATCAGCTAACAGCTAACAACCATTTACCAAATGAGACCATAATGTTCGGGTTTTAGATTCAGGGTATGGGTTAAACAAAGTAACCAATTATAATATTTGCTAAGTAGAAACAATTAATTAAAACAATGGCTAGGCAAGGCTTAAGGATTTTTGTTGTATTTAAGGTTCTACAAGAATTTTGAATTTTACGAGTCATTGATGAGATTATAAATTGTTAGAGTTTTTGTTTTATATGCAGTGTGGTACGACACTCACCCAGTCTGGAGCTTGAAGGGAAGAGTGCCGGAATAGCCTGGAAGAGTGTCCACAATTTTGAACGATACAACCAAATTGTTGCAGAAGAAGAAGAAGAGGAAGTGCAGGCAACTCCAAGTTGGAACAATAAACATCCTTCTCAAATCCATATAATATTGCAAAGTTGGCTCAAAGGAACAGCTGCCATGTCTTCTCAAGCTTCCAAGCTCTTATCTCGTTAGTTTATAACTGAAGTTTCGCCATGTGGCCAAATTTTTACCACATATATATATACAAACAAAACTCATCCACAACTCTTATTAATTATATAAGAAACCCAACTTTAATCATTGCTTGTACTTGTTATGCTTCGCATGGTACGAATTATACAGAAAATAAACAATATGCTCAAGATGATGCGTGGTGTTTGACAAATAGCTGTTAACAAATTTGATTAGTTGATAACATTAGCTGGTTGTAGAAAAATGTTTGATAAATGAGCTGATAACTTATTAAATGCAAAATAATCTTTAAAGATGAAGTTATTTTATCAAAAAACTTATTGAAAAACATACAATGAAAACACAACCACAAAGAATCCACAGTACAAATGCACAACTATGAAGACCATAGTGCACACCAGTACATTATCTACAAAACTACACATACATCAAGGTTCCTCTTCACTTCTGAGAAGATGTCAATGTCAATCTGTGTCATAGAAGTTTGATCTTCTTTGCCTGCATTTGGATTGGGAACAGTGAATTTGCAGGTTAATTGGCTCCAGAACATTGCCCAGAAATATGCCTTCAATGCCCTGCACACAGTACACTTAGCTTTTAAATGGTCACCCAATAAATTTAACTACGTTATTGAATTCTTCCACCCTTTCATCGTGAACCCAGTGGAGGCTCGCCGGAGAAAGCACGTGCGAGTGGAGAACTAAGCATTACAAGAAGTATTAATGGAAGAAAGAGTGAAGGAAATTTAAGATAGACCATAATATCAGAGATGACAATTCTTTGTTCTATACTTTTACTTGCTCATAAAAGTGGTTTTAGGTTAGGATTCCTCTCTTGTTTGACTCCTTAGTTGTTTGTTCTTCCTTAATCTCTTAGGTTATTAAAGCATCTAGAAGGTGATGTTTTCTAATTTGAGCCCTATGCGATCCTTTATTATTGTGTTTACTTATGTTTCAATTATGTTAAACTCTTTATTAATTCCTAATTGCTCTTCGATGAATTTGTTTTGCTTGGATTCTTGTGGATTACAATACTTTAGTGTCTAGAACCTTAATTGTCACGCAAGTACGTGCCCTAGCCCCAATCCTTTGCGGAACGACATTTTCACCTGTAAACCCACCACCTCATTTCCCATACATCAACCACCAACACCACTACCACTTTCACTACCAACACCAACACTTTGGTTAGTAATCTTTGATCGTAATTGTGTATTATAAAACTTTGGTTAAAAGGCTGCAAAAACTGCCGCATGGCAACTTAGCTAATTCTCTCTCCCTTTGCTAAGTTAGCCAATTCTCTCTCCCTTACCAATACACGTAGGCTTAAAACCCCAAAAAAAAAAAAAAAAAAAAAAAAAAAAACTTTCTCTCTTACTACATCATTTAGCAAATCATGAAATTTTTGGGATGAGGTTAGTGATTATATATGTCGTGCTGGGATAATATCAAGAAATTCAAGCATGCTATCCACTTAAAATTGAATTGACACATTGAGAACCACAATCCACTTAAAATTGAATTGACACATTGAGAACCATATATGTATGTGGTGCAGATAATAAAGTGTACCTAAAATAAAAAAAATAATAATAATAAAGTGTACTTCAAATTGAATTGACACGTTGAGAACCATATATGTGAAGTGTACTTAAAATTGAATTGACACATTGAGAAAAGTGTTGATTGCACGCATTAAATGTTTAAAGTGGCGGCCAGCTAGCGATTCATAATTTAATCTTTTTTTTTTTTTTCCTCCCAAATGCTCTGTCAGGTTGGGGGTGTGGAAAAAGAACCCAACTTTAACAATTACACCTCTACTAGAATTTGAAACCATTTAGAAAAGTCATTTTATGTCACTAGACTACAAGTTCATTAATTATATTATATAGAAAATAATTTCTGACATTTCCTTTGTCAAATTTTACTAGTGAGTCCTGTGATGTTTATTTTTAAATAATTATTATAATTTTTAAATTTACATTTTTGTGTTTTATTTTAAATATATAAATATCAATTTTATATTTTTTTTTTGCATTGATGCTCGAACTCACAATCTTTCATATGGGGTCTAATGAGCTCACAATCTTCCATATGGGGTCTAATCCGGGTATCATTAGACCACAAGGTCTTGGCAAATATAAATTAAATATTTTAGTTATTGTCAATTGGTTTGAACAAATTTATTTCTCTTTTTGGAAGTACTGTTGACCTGTTACAGGTAGTATCTGCGCTCGAACCCATGACCTCTCACTTAAAAAAATCATTTTATTCCGCTTGATCAAAAGGTCTTTGACAACAAATTTATTTCTTTAATTGTTAATTATATTTAGTCCCTAATGTTATGTAGTTATTACTTATTAATTAGAGACCTATTTAATGAGGAGGAGAATCCTGCTTATCGATTTTGATTATTTATGAGTTAGAGTTTTTATCAAGTCAAATATTTGATGAAGATTGTGTACGTTGTTAAGAGGAGAGAAGGAAGTTGGAGAGTAATTGACAAATATAACTCATGAAAAAAAAATATTAATAAAGTTTCTAATTATATAACAACAAGGACGAAATTAAATAATTAAGTTTATTCAAATCAATTAATAGGGTCAAATTTTTAAAAATAAAATAATTCAGGAGCTAAAAACATCATTTTCACTAATTTAAATGAAGTTTCTTTCATTGAATTGACACATTGATAACCTGGAAGAGTATATACTTTATATGTGGTACGGTGCAGATAATATGAAGAAATTCAAGCATGCTATCCACTTAAAAGATTTGGCAAAAATTTGTGTGAGACTATCTCACGAATTCTTATACATGAAATGAGTCAGGTAAAGATAAAAATGTAATACATATATTGAAAAATGTAGTATTAATGAGAAAAGTATTTATTACTTTAAAGGGAAATATAATACTTTTGAAGAAAATTGTAATATTTTTACATTTTTATTTAAAATATTATATTTTTATCAAAATATTACACTTCCATTTAAATATAACAAACACTTTATTTCTTATTATTATTACATTTTTCAATATAAATATTACATTTATACATTAACTCTACCCATCTCAGGAATCAGCCTTTGGTTGGTTTGTCTTGCGTAGAGCCACCACACATTTTTGCTCCGAGAAATATAATCATTAATCTTACCAAATCACCCTCGTGACCGACACCGCTAGCACAAGTGCACAACAGTCCTTTTCGATTTTTGTTTGTATTCAAAATAAGAAGTTTTTCTTTATATTGTATGGCAACAAATAGACATTGCTCAAAATAATATATTGTTGTATCAATTAAGGGAAATTAAGACAGTAGAATTTTGAATTAATTAGATTTCCCAATAATGTTACGTTCATAATATGGTAAAACCGGTCCAAAAAAAAATAAAAAATAAAAAATGGGATAGTCTAGGCTAAGCAATAAACAGCACTTTTGTCCATGAATATGGATTTAGGTTGACTGAGATCAGACCATCTCCAAGGATACACCAAATCACCAAAACAGCAAAAAAAAAATGGCGTAAATAAACTCCAACAGGCTCGCCATCGCACCAAATATTTGGTGTGAGATGAACAGTGCCGCACCAAATTTGGTGCTGCACTATTCATCTCACACCAATTTGGTGTTTTTTGTTTATTTCTAAAATGTCCTTTGTTTTTATTTATAAATTTTATATTATTAAAAATAAATTATATCATTTAAAAGATCTCATCAATACAATTAAAACAAGACTAATATTGGACATTGAATAATTAAAAATGAAATTACATAGCCAAGCACCTTGTGTTCGGATGACATGTAATGACCTCTCTCATGTGGAAGGTCATAAGATCGAGCCTTAGTGGAGGCGTTGTTGACTCTTTGTGCTTCATTAGATTAAGAAAGTATGTTTGACTACAATGTAATGGAGTCAGTAGCATTCAGGGTGTAGTACATGTTAAATTAAGCAACTAAATAATTTTTTTAAGGAATAAGGTTCAAATTCGCCACTGAACGTAACCTGAAAATGCAATTAGGCCACTGAACGAACAAAAAGTGCAATTAGGCCACTGAACACTCCAAAAACGGGCAATTAGGTCACTGAACTCTCCAAACGTATGCAATTTCACCGGATAGCAGGTTACCATCAATTTTAGCAGGTTACCTGCTTACGTGGCAGCTGAGTTGACATTTTTAATAATTTTTAATTAATTTTTAATAATTAATTTTAATAATTAATTTTATAAAAAATTGGAAAAAATTAAATAAAAAATAAAATAAAGTCGTTTTTATTTTTTAAAATTTTTTTAAATAAAAATTTATTATTAAAATTTATTAAAAATGATTTAAAATTTATTAAAAATGCCAACTCAGCTGCCACGTAAGCAGATAACCTGCTAAAATTGAGGGTAACCTGCTATCAGGTGAAATTGCACATTTTTAGAGTGTTCAGTGGCCTAATTGCACTTTTTTTTTTTTTTCGTTCAGTGGCCTAATTGCATTTTCAGGTTACGTTCAGTGGCCAATTTGAACCTTATTCCTTTTTTAAAAAAGTAGAGACAATTAAAACAATAGTTGAGTACGTAAGGTCTAAGTGATCTTTGTTGTATTTAACGGTCCACAACGACTTTGAATTTTAGAAGTCATTGTTGAGTTTTTGTATGTTTATGAACAATTATTGCATACCTATTTAGTATATACAAAAACACGTTATTTATATGAATTTTTTGACTTCTAGCCTCATCTAATAGGAGGAGGTCTAGTGGCCTAATATGGCATTGTTCTAACTATGAATGCTCCACGTACTACCGCATATTGAGTCTGACGAAACTGAGCTTCAAATAGCCAAACACATGTGACATGTCCCATGCCACTGAATATTGTTTGATATGATTATGATTGGACCGTACTGCGCCTCCATTATTAAACAATTTGTTCATTAATATTTACGTTATATTATTAAGTCTATACAAATATCATAATCACAACACAGTAATTTTTTCTTATTATTGTCAAATAAATAATTTGAATCTTAAATAATTTAAATGAAGTTTCTGTCATTGAATCGATACATTTAGTCCCTGCTAGAAGAGTATATATTATGTGGTGCAGATAAATCAAGAAATTCAAGCATGTTATCCCTTTAAAGGTTTTTGTTTGGTTTGTCAAGCGTAGAGCCACCACACATTGCTTCCAGAGATATCATTAATCTTAGCTTATCAAATCACCCAATTGTGAATGACACCGCTAGCACAAGTGTCCTTTTTCAAAATAATTTTTGAGTAATACGGACTCTATTACAATATAGTATCTGTTCATACATACTTTCTCAACCTATTAAGATTCAAATACAGTTAATGTCTCGCTAAAGTTTGAACATGTGACCTCTCATTTGGAGAGTTACAGAGGTACCATTGTTCAAGATAATATATTGTTGCATCAATTAAGGGAAATTAAGACCGTAGAGTTTTGATTCAGTAGTATCCAAATTCTACGTGCCGGACCATTGCATGCATGCATAAATAAGTAAACAAGGATAATTCTTATTGGCATGCATGTGAATTATTTTTCTAAAGCAATCTCTTCTATTAAGTTTTTGCATTGGGTTAATCATAATTTTATAGCTGGCAGCAAAAGCGTAATTTTATAGCTTGAGTTTTCATACCATTACGGCAAAAGTTATATTACTTGCAGCAAAGGCGTAAATTTATTTCCTTATATACCGTCACCACATTTTCGAGAGGCGAGATGTTGGTCTTGGCACTTCACTCGCTTCCGCTCAACGATCTCCTAGTCACCAATTGTTTGACTTGACACGTTATCGGCCTCTGCCCAATAGTATATATGCATCTCTTATATGATTATTTGCATGCTATTTTACACAAGAATGAGGCATACACAATACATACCGTCACATAATGACTATTAGTGTAAGCAAGGGTATTCATATACTATTGGGAAATTAGATACTCATCATTTCAAGACAAGTATGAAGTACTTATAAGCAAGGGTGGGAAATTAAATATTTATGTAATTGATGACTATAAGTAGAGATTCCCAGGCAATCTGGGTTCCACAAGTGCCAAGAGTGGGGTTTCAAGAAAGAGATCATGTTTAGACTCGATTAACCTTATGCATGGCAAAGTAGGAGGGACATCCCAAGTGAAGCATTGAAGAAGCCGAGCCATCAACATTGTAGTTATCAAAGAGCCTAGTTTAACCGCCGGACATCCTCGTCTCCCAGTACTAAACGCCAACATCTTCAACTCTGTGTCATTTAAATTCACTTCTCCACCGTCCTCCTTGAGGTGGCGCTCTGGCTTAAACATAAGAGGCTCCTCCCAAGCACTTGCATTCCGGCCAAGCCCCACGCGGCTAAGGAGCACTTGACTGCCCTTGGGAATGGAGTAGCCACCCACCGCGGTGTCTGCCACGGCCACATGGGGGATGTTGAACGGCGCCACTGGGTGGAGCCGGAAGGCTTCTTTAATACATGCCTTGACGTAGTTTAGATTAGGCAAATCGGATTCCTCCACCAGCCTCTCCCTCCCAACCACGCTGTCTATCTCTTTCACAGCCTTTTCCAGTAGTTTTGGTTGGTTTATCATCTCCGCAAGTGCCCATTCCACAGCATTTGATGGATTATCCGTGGTTGCTAGCATCATTTCCTTGATAAATTAAAAAAGCATGTTTTTTAGACCATGTTTTAAACCACCTATAGAAAGAATAAGTTGTCTAGCATGAAGGCTAATTCTACGTACCAGAACTTGTGTTTTGATCTCTGTATCACTCAGTAATGGACTCCCACCATTATCCTTGAGCATAACAAGAACATCTAGGATGTCTTCTTCCACAGTTTTAGTCCCATCTTTCCATATTTGCATCCTCTTGTCCACTTCGGTATCAAGGTGTTTTCTCATTACTGACAAAGCTTTCTTGATGGTGCTTTTATGGCCACCGATATCGAATATACTCAGCCATGGGATATAATCAGAAATTCCCAATCCGTATAGAGCTTGAAGAAGTGCGAAGAGGGCCTTAAGGATCTCTTCTTCTTCTTCTTCCATTACGTTGCCGAAGAACCGCTTGTTGAATACCATCTTGCTTATGACATTTCCACAGTACTGCCGTGTAACAGTGCGGACGTTAACAACATGCATGCCGCCGGTACCGGAGATTTTGCACTGATCGTAGATGAATTTAACTAGGTTATTGGCTTCTTCCACCCTTTTATCGTGAAGCCAGTGGAGGCTCGCCGGAGAAAGCACGTGAGAGTGGAGAACTCTTCGCATTTTCGCCCATTGATCGCCGGTGGGGAGAAAGATGGACGACAAGTATCCGTTGCTGATAAGATCGGCGGACATGCAAACGGGCCTGGACGAGAAAACCGAGTCTTGCTTCTTAAGGAACTCGCGAGCGAGCTCCGGGGAAGTGACCGGAATCACGTAAGTGCCCCCGAGACGGATGCATGCGATTTCAGTGTTCATTTCGTCCATGAAGTTGTGTATCCACCGGAATGCTGGCTTTCCTCGGACGACAATCTCCGGGAAAGATCCGACGAGGGGCCAAGGTTTGGGCCCCGGAGGAATTGGCAGCAATTTCTTTCTTCTGTTAGTTAGCCACTGCCTTGTGATTCTAATCATTACAAGAAGTATTACTGGAAGAAAGAGTGAAGGAAATCTAAGATAGACCATAATATCAAAGATGGCTGCCATTTTTGTGAGTTTTTTTAGGAAAGTAGCTTATCACTTATCAGTGAGTGAGTTTGCTACTTGCTGCGAGCCTTGGAGTAAAAGTATATGCAATTTGCCCTATTTATAGATGTTATTGAATGTGTAAAAAAGTGTGGTATGTATATACCAGTTAATACTATACAATATTGTTGGCGGTGAATAAGTGGATAAACCAAAGTATATATATATATATATAAAAGTAGGGATTTATATTATGGAAAAACAATCCCAACAAACTACTAAGAAATTATTATAAGGGGTTTAATTTTGAGAAAATTAATTCCACCAATTTATTTATATAAAATAAATAAAAAGAGAAAGGATTTACCTGAGGTTTTAATTCAATGTGCAAGAGAAAGGGTTTCATAAACCTGAGATTCTAATCCAACACAAAAAAGGATCTGTGGTTTTAACGCAACACACAACACAAGAAATGCTTATTCTTCTCCAAAAAGTCGTGACTTCCATATCCGTGTAAAAATTGACCTTAAATAACTTGTATAACGGAATCTCTTTGTTCATCCACGATGTGCAATCTCATAAGAACTCCATGCTTATCCACCGAAATGTTGTAAATTTGTTAAAAATGATAAATGAGATCGATGGTTTGGAGTTGTCCCTCACTTTGTAGTCACATTTGAAGGTGACCACAAATTCATAAACAAATGGTCCAATAAGTGTCCCCCCTCCAACCTCCACTAAAGACTTGGGACCATAATAACCCCTCCAACCTCCAACTAAAGACTTGGGACCATAATAAATAAAATTGTTATACTCTATTTACTTCCAAATCTTACTCCCTTATGTGGCGAGTATTGATAAGCTATTTTCTTCATGTGAGCCCATATAGATGTGTTTACATCAAAATTTTAAGTGTGAAAGTAAAAGTTGTGAGAGTAGAAAATGAGAATACATATAGTATTTTTCTAAATAAAAACAAGAAAAGAAGAACGTAACCTGTTCAGGCTCATTTTAAAATTTGATTTGCCGTCCTCCCTTCGCGCGAGAGAGATCATCTATGCTATACAATTCAACATGCCTCTAAAATTAAAGGCTCTTGTATATATAGTGGTGTAAACTCACTTCCCAAACAAATGTGGACAAGTGCTTTTACAAAGCTTTTCTACATTCATTTTCCAACTCAAATGGGAATTGAAGCATGTGCTCCATCTCAACTAAAAGCTTAAGCTGATAGTTGGATACACATTAATGGATATAAGCTCACACGCCCCCTCACGTGTACGGTGGATTCCAACCAACACGTGGACCGGTAAACCGTAGTCGCTTACCCCCCTCACGTGTACGGTGGATTCCAACCAACACGTGGACCGGTAAACCGTAGTCGCTTACGAGTGGCGTTGAGATTCGAACCCATGACCTTTGGTCTGGCTCTGATACCAAATTGAAGCATGTGCTCCATCTCAACTAAAAGCTTAAGCTGATAGTTGGATACACATTAATGGATATATGCTCACAATGGGTCTACTTTGAAAATCAATTTCTCATTCACTAATTATCCTTTTTAGCGTACAATATATCAATCTCAACTTACTATGCAGAACCCGAATTGATTTGATCTGGACCTAAATCGAAAGTGGATCCCACATATATTTGTACCACAAAATAGACATTTAAATACCATTTTATACTAAAAATTCCAACAAATATTGTAGCTAACATCCAATTACTCCCTCCTTGCAATGTCTGCTGGACTCGGAGTCCTTACTCAAATATTATTTACATTTCAGAAATACTCGATATAATCCGAGCTAGAGGGATGACAAAGTCGATCAAATTAAATCAAAATGTTGAAATCCTGAAGTTTACTTTGAGAGAGTTTGGGTTTTTTTTTTTTTTTAACAAAGTTTGTTAGTTATTTGACTTGGTAATTATAAGTTTGGCAAGTTTGTAAAATTTGTAATTTAAATGAAATTAAATCACGATAAGAGTTATTCCCAGTATATATGCTAATAAATTTCTTTTTCTTCTTTGCAGAAAGCTAAGCTATTTGATTTGGGAAAAAAATTTACAAATTATCTCACCAAACTATAATGCAACAAATGTCACTCTTTCATGGCGGGCGACACATTCATGTTCGAAAAGCGCCAACCGGTCGAGATGATTTCGAGCTTTCATAGGAAGAGATAGTGGGTCACCTTAAACGTACTAAAATTGCAGATTTGCAGCGTCACGTGCAGAAGCTAGCCAGAAACGTGCTTCACATTTTAAAATACACAACCTGAGAAAACGGCTAAAGGTGTTAACCCTTTCGTTTAATGGCCACAGACTTAACTTTCGGGGTAACGTCGTAACGATGGCAAACGGATTGTGTCGGTACAGTCTGGCCCCGCCATATTATATTATTTCAAAAAAAAAAATAAATAAATTGAATACTCTAATCACCAATAATTTCGCATCCAAAATAGATTTCAAATTATTCTTCCAAAACGTTGAACTCCAATCCTAAGGGTCTCCATATTAATTCTGATAGAACATTTGAGAGAATGTAATTCATGGTAACTCAAATTTTGAATTATTAACTTGCACTATAAATATATAATAACTCACAAAACTAACAAGATTTAATTCAAAAAATTCCTATAAGTTAATTTCAATAAACATCGCAATTCAGTATAAATACTCTAATGGTAGAGTTCTAACTCTTAGGTGAGAACCACATACCCAGGAATGAGATATATAAAAAATAATTGTTTAAAAAAATGCGTTTACATTTTTGTAAACAATTCGAATTTTGAAGTGCACATAAATTGTGTTAAAAGTGTACGTAACAATTTCATCGAGTGCACCTAAGTGGAAGTAAAATGTATTACAAGTGCAACAATATAGTATATACACTGAGCAACAATATTAAGTGCACATAACGTTATCATTAGGTGCACCAATGTGCAAAATGTAAATTACACTATTAAGTGAAAATGGTTGCACTTTTAAGTGATTTTACTTTCACACTTACACTAGTTGCACTTGTAACACATGTTAGTTGCACCAAAGTTTGAATTATTGAGTTAATTTCACTTTTGGTCATATGATTATTGGGGTGTTGTCAATTTGAGTCCATAACTTTCAAAACTAACAATTTAGTACCTTAACTATTTAATTTTTATCAATTTTAGTTAGTCTGGTCAAATTGTCGTCCAAATGTCACCAAAATCTTTTAATTCAGTGTAAAAATGGAAGCTAATTTGTGAACCATTGTTTGAATTAATACAAAGGCGGGTGGAATGTGGATAAAAATTGACGAAAATTAGTCGACAATTGACCGGCAATTTGACCAAACTGACTAAAATTGATAAAAATTGAATAGTTAGGGTACTAAATTGTTGGTTTTGAAAGTTGTGGACTGAAATTGGTAATACTTCAATAATCATAGGACTAAAAGTGAAATTACCTCTTGAATTATTTATAAAAATATCATTGTATTTTTTTTTAAATTACATCTTATCCATTAAATTTGGACAAATGAGCAACTCTGATTAGTTCTCATTCCTCTGTTGAGCGCCCATTCTCACCTGACAAGATTTAATTCAATAAGTAAATCCTTTATATAATAAAGCTATATTGTTTGGGAAATAATTAATGCTACAATTACAACATCTTTTATTATAAAAAAAAAAAAAGCACAACATTTAAAAAATAAAATAACTATATATTATATAATCATATAAAAAATTTACTTTTGAAAAATAAAATAGCTATATATTATATAATCATATAAAAAATGTATTCAATTAGAGTTTAAATTTACACATACAAAATTTGAAATTTTCTTTCCAAATGTAATTATCTTAGTTATTATTCGTATTGTGAAAATTATAATATAGATGAAATACAATTAAGAATAAATTAATATAATTATGTAAATTCTCTCTATAAGTTTATTTGAATTGAATATGCACATAATTAGAGATTATATTAACCATAGAAAATTATAATTTTAATTTTAATTGTAATTTTGTATTCTATAAAAATAATAAATATTGACCAATGGAAGCTCAAAAATATTAGTATATTAAATAATTTAAAATATTTTAGTTTTTCTATTTTTTATTTATATTTATAATAACATAATTTTTTTTCGTACATTGCGCGGGTGAATTACTAGTTACAACAAATACCGCAATTTAGTATAAATGTTCTAACGATAGAGTTCTCTATTGGAAGAGGTTAATTGCTTTTATACTCACGTTGCTAATAAAGTAGACAAAACTATATATACTTTTCAATTTGGCAATACTCTAAAGTCTAAACCTTTACAAAAGTCATTCTTTTTAATCATTATTTTTATATAGTGATTGACACATTACTATACATTAAGGTTTAAAATTAAATAAACAAATTATTTTTTTTTAAAAAAAAAAGTAAAAATTATTGTATCATGTATTAGTAAATTAAAAATAAAGTACTTAATAATTGTAGAGGTGAACATTATCTTCTATACAATTACTAATGTAAAAAATTATAAGCGTATTATTAGGGAATACGATATTAATTGCAGTGCACAATAATTTGACAGTACATTTTAACAATTCTTTTATTGTCACGTTCCATTCTTGGGGCCGGGATAACGACATCAATTTTTCCATTAAAGGACTTACACCTCGGCCAGCAAATCTTGCCAACACAAAGGGGTCCTCATCTTAATTCTTAATTAATGCTGAGGAGCATTCGTTTTCTATAATATAATTAAATTATAAACTGAAGAAAGATAAAATAAAATGAGGGGTGCATAACTGCATACTATATATGGATTAGGAAATTTTTTTTCTTCTTTTAGTCAAGGTAGTGTCGACCTGATCATGTCAGGGTAATCGTCTCTCACATGCAGGACCCCCCAAATCTTTTGTGGCCATAAATAAATAAATAAATAAATAAATATATATATATATATATATATATATATATATATATATATATATATATATATATATATATATATATTGAACAGTCAATTCATCTGTCACTTCGATGCCCTGGCTACTGCCCGTCAACGAGTCAAGCCTCCTTTATTAATTTATAAGGGCATATAGATCTTTATTTTGGTACAATTTTCTTCACGCTGGTTAAAACTTTTGTTGCTGGCGCTTTGCAGAGATGCACGTATGAGCTCATCGCGGAAACTTTAGCAAGCAAAAAAATTCTTTCAATATGATTGATGATCGTAGTGTAACATCTGTTGGACTGTACATCACCTGTTCTTCCTTACACCGCAATTTAACGATATCTGTTTGACTACACACATATTGTTCTTCTTTACACCGCAATTTAACACATCTGTTAGGCTGCACACCGACTGTTCTTCTTTACACCGCAATTTATCGACATATGTTAAACTGCACAACGATTGTTCTTCCTTACACCGCAATTTAACGACTCTTACTATTAAACTCGTGTCATATGTGGGCATTACCACAAGTAATTGTAGGTCAATTATGGTATTGTTCATCTCAGCCACCAAAATCATATCGATATATATATATATATATATATATATATATATATATATATATATCCTCCTAACCACAAAGGGTTCTTATCTTCAAATAATCAATATAGACGTTGCATTTGAAATACTAATAATACAACATTCATGTTAAAATCTAAGTATCTAACTCCTTGAATATTAGCCCAACACTTGCATTTCAAGTTTCACGTACTATTTATAGGAGTTCTTTATTGGTCTTCTTAATTTGAGCTAGTCAGTTTTAGACAATTTAAATTGTTTACTTTTTTTGTGATTTTTTGACAGGACTGAAAACAGATTGCATCGGAGCACACATTCGAATAGCAGTCGGAAGACTTTTTCATAAATCAAAGTCAAAGTCTAACTCTAATACCACAAAAGTTAGTTTAAAGGTAAAACTTTAACCCAAAATTAATACCAATACACAATTTTGTGAAGTCGATGGGATACCATATCATGGTTTGATCTTCCTTTATATCAAAAGAAAAATACAAAATACACTAATTTTCAAATATATTTTCAGCAAAAATATAACAAATGAAATTTATTTTAATGAAAATATCAATTACACATATTTCAAACGTGTTTCTTCATTGAGCATGTCTCTACCACACAAATCCTAGCTTGGAGAATTCGAGAATCCCATGGTCGATCTTAATTATTGATTGAGTCCTGGCCTGGGGTATTGGCCTAATCCCATGGCCGAAATGGGGTTGAAAGATTATATGGTTAAACTGGAATCTGCAGAAAAATAAGTCATTGAGGTTCAAACTCTATACATGAGTCTAGGCATGACAGTTTGCTGAATTGTAGGCACCTCTTTTAAGTGGGATAACTGATCTAAAAATTTAAAGTTGCTTTATATATTCAAAGTCAATGATCGAATCTTAATTTTTAATTAAAAATGAATAAGTCATTTCCACTCAACCATATCCCAGGTTATTATATATTAATTTCAAATTTTTCGTTTTGTGTGTGTTTACACTCCGGGTCAATTGGACTGAGGCCGTCCAAAGAAAATGGAGTTCACATCGGTGTTAGGAGGTCGAGTTCCAATCTATTAGGGGAGTAAAAAAAATGGAGTTAATTAACATTGGTGTTAGCCTGTTAGGGGTGTCGAGTTCCAATCTATTAAGGGAGTAACCGAATTGCTCATTTATTTCTTTGGGACTATTGGAACTATAACAGGGCGTTTGGTTGGAAGGAATTAAATTCCCTTCCCACATAATTCCAAAGGCCATAAAATTCTTTAGTTTGGTTGGAAAGAATTGCAATTTCATGGAATTGCAATTTCTCCATTTTCATGGAATTAAAATCTCATAATTCCTGGGATTTTAGGAAGAAAAAAAGCTAGTGATGAGACAACCCCTCTCTTTTTTTAACCTAAAATTAATACCACACCAACACGGAGCATTTTGGACTTTATACTACTTATTCCCTTTCAATTCCCATATATGTATACCAAACATTGAAATTCTCAGTAATTCCCAACACTGTAATTTAAATTCTAACATTATTCCCCGTCATTAATCTCCCATGGAATTGCAATTCTTTTCTCACTTAATTCCCCCCTCCAACCAAACGCAAACGCCCTGTAAAAAGATATATGTTTTATCCCACTAACTTTAAAATCTTTTTCAAGGAGATGAAGACCTTGCATAATATATTAGCAACATTTTTCGTGCACATGCCGTGTTTAAATTTGAAGTCATTACGACACCATTTTGAGAGACAAAATAAGAATGACTTGGATTCATATTACTACAAACACCGGCCCTAGCTAGCTAGTTCATAATATAACCATTGGTCATAATGCGACACCGAATACTATAAATTCTATACTCTTGTTAAATTTGCATTAATCAATTAATAAGTTAACCATCTAAATTAGGACCTTCACAAGATATCTAGTGATTTGACCCAAAAAAAAAAAAAAAAAAAAAAAAAAGTTAACCACCCAAATTTTGATTAAAACTCCCAATTAAATAAAACTATTAGGTTCAACTACTCTTTGAAATCAAGACATTTATTAACAAGATACTTTTTCCTTCTATATTTCACAATTTAAAATCTCATTACAAATTTATACTACCTTGAATTGTTATATTATTTTTTGGAAGAAATACTACACTGAATTAAAACACGCTTAACTTATATATAACATATGAGCCAAATCAAATAGACTAGTACATGACTAAATGGGCTACATGTAGAGATTTTCAGACAATCGCGGCTTTGCAAGTGCAAGGAGTGGATTTTCAAGAAAGAGATCATGTTTAGACTCCGTTAAGTCTATGCATGGCCGGTGAGTTGGAACACTCCAAGTGAAGCCTTGAACAAGCCTAGCCATAAGCATTGCAGACATCAAAGAACCTAACCTCACACCCGGACAACCTCGTCTCCCAGCACTAAATGACAACATCTTCAGCTCCGAGTCGGTTAAGACCACTTCCCCACCATCCCCCTTTAGGTGACGCTCCGGCTTAAATTTGAGGGGCTCCTCCCAAGCTCTTTTGTTCCGGCCAAGCCCAATGCGACTGATGAGCACTTGGCTGCCCTTGGGAATGAAGTAGCCACCTATCACGGTGTCCGCCATGGACATATGAGGAGGGGTGAAGGGTGCAACTGGGTGGAGCCTATAACCTTCTTTAACACAGGCCTTTATATAGTTTAGCTTAGGTAAATCGGATTCTTGAACAAGCCTGTCCCTCCCTACCACATTGTCTACCTCTTCCACTGCGTTTTCCAATAGTTTTGGTTGGTTTATCATCTCTGCCAGTGCCCATTCCACAGCATTCGATGGATTGTCTATAGTTGCTATCATTATTTCCTGTGATATATTACATTTCACAAAAAACATGCATGCATTATTGTTACATTTCATTTTAAACCAGTAGCACTGCTGGAAATTATGGAATTTTTGACCACTTGAAAGTGATCTTAAATCAAGTCGAAAGGTTTGTTCCGACCACTTTTGGTATCCGGAAAAATTTTTGTTGCTATTTTCGACCACTTTTTGCTTTCGAGATCACTTTCAGGTGGTCGGAAATTCCATAATCTCTAGCAGTGTAGGAAAAATAGGCACATATCAGATCAGGGGTTTACCAGAAGTTGTGTTTTGATCTCTTTATCGCTCAACATTGGTCTTCCATCATTATCCTTGAGCATAAGAAGGACATCAAGGATGTCTTCTTCTACAGTTTTGGTCCCATCTTTCCACATTTGTGTCCTCTCGTCCACTTGGGTATCAAGGTGTTTTCTCGTGACCGCCAGAGCTTTGGTGATGATGCTTTTATGGCCGTCGATATCAAATATACTCAGCCACGGAATGTAGTCGGCGACTCCGGATCCATAGAGATAGTGAAGAATTGTGAACACCGCCTCAACCAGCTCTTCATCTACGGCACCGGGTCCTCCATCTGCCACCCCACTGCCAAAGTACCTCTTGTTGAATAACATCTTCTTAGTCACATTTCCGCAATAGTGTTGTGTGGCCCCTCGCACATTAACAACCGCTCCCTTGGTGCACTGATTGTAGATGTAACGAAGGAGATGATTGGCTTCTTCCACCCTTTTATTGAGAAGCCAATGGTGTCTGGCCGGAGAAAGCACGTGGGAGGTGAGAATTCTTCGCATTTTCGTCCATTGTTCGCCGTAGGGGAGAAAGGCGGAGGTCAAGTATCCGTTGCTGATAAGATCGGCAGACATGCAAAGGGGTCTTGACGAGAAAATGGAGTCTTGCTTCTTAAGGAACTCGCGGGCGAGCTCCGGGGAAGTGACCGGAATCACGTAAGTGCCCCCCAGACGGATGCATGCGATTTCGGTGTTGGTTTCATCCATGAATTTGTGTATCCACCGGAATGCAGGCTTTCCTGATCGGAAAATCTCCGGGAAAGATCCGACGAGGGGCCAAGGTTTCGGCCCAGGAGGAATTGGCAGTGACTTCTTTCTTCTGTCCGTTAGCCATTGCCTTACAATTCTAAGCGCTACAAGAAGTATTAATGGAAGAAAGAGTGAAGGAAATCTAAGGTAGACCATAATATCAGAGATGGCTGCAGCCATTTTTGTGAGTTTTGACGAAAGTACGTAGCTTATCAGTGAGTGATGTAGCTTGGAGTAAAAGCATATAGAGTTTGCCCTATTTATAGATGTTGTTGAATGTGTAAAAAGCTTGTATATATAATTAGTTAACACAATATAATAGCTAAAATACAATTAGTCAATTACTCCCTCCTTCTGATCCAAGCTAGCCCAGAGGGCTATGACGGCTAAGAGCATCCCACCAATGGAGTATGGTGTATTTTTGAGGAAACATGAGTGATGTGGAGAAAAGAGAATGAGTTGGTCTTTACAGAAAGATGAATTTTAATTAGACTGAGGAAGTGGGCTCCCTTGTAGAGAGAGGTGCGCATAATAGCTTCTGTTTTTTTGGTCTTTTTTTTTTAAAAAAAAAATACTACATGCATTCACATTTCTTACTCTCAATTTTACTATTCCTCACAAATTCTTGATGTAGACTTATTCCTTGGGACCTATATGATGAAAAGAAAAATACTTTATGTACTTTCTTTTCTTACTTCCAATTTGTACTCACTCATAAATTTTTGATGTTGACACATTTTATAGGACCCACATGATGAATATATCCGATCTTTGTTTGTCATGTCATGGCATGGAGTGAAAGTGAGGAAGTAGAATTTGGGAGTACGTGTAGTAAAACTTATTTTTTTCCTTTTCTTTTATCCCCTCTTATCTTCTCTTTCCTAATCACACATGCAAAACTTCACCAAAAACCACAATTGTTGGAGATGCTCTAAGGCTATATTACACATGTAGTTTAGAGCATCTCCAATTGTTGAATTTTGCACAACATTTTAGGAGGTCATGTATGAGAGAGAGGGAAATGGAAGAGAAAAAGAAAAGAAAACGAAAAAAAAATATATTCTTTTGACAATTTTTTTTAAAGGGAATTAAGGAAATGATTAGAGGTCAGAGTGGTCGCTAGTTGGCAGCCACTCTGATGCGGCTCATCGGTAGCGTGTGGAGCATGCAATGCGCTCCAAACGTGCGAGATGTACTTCTTTTTTTTTTTTTTCTCCTACAAAAATCATGTATTTGTAGGAAAAAAAATATCTTGAAAAGCCAATATTCCAATCTGTTTGCTTCTCATCCAACTAGTTTTTCCTCATAAAATCTCCCAACAAAAACAATAAATGTGGATGCTCTTAGAGCCTTTGGAGCACAATTATTGTAACTTGGAATTGTACTTTACTTTATTACCATAATAAATAGGCAAAAATTTATCTGAGGCAATGTTTCACGGACCAGTGAGACGCGGGATTGGATCAATATAAATGTATTATTTACACGAGTAAATGTAATACTAATAAAGAATATAATATTTATTATTTATATAGAAAAGTGTAATACTTTTAAAGAAAAATGTAATACGTTTACATTTTGATATAAAAGTATTACATTTTTCACAAAAATATTACATAAGTAACAAACACTTGCCAACATTATTTATATATTATGAAAAATATATATATTTATATCAAAACATTTTTCCCTTATAAGTAACAAACAAATTCATAATTAGTAGTTTTCAAAAATAAAAAAATAAAAAAATTCCTAATTAGTATTATATTTTCAGTATAATTATTACATTTTCATATTAACTCGACATATATCATATAAGGATTTGTGAGACAGTCTCATATAAATGTGACCCTAATAAATAATATTCTTACTTTATTACTTCATTATTATCTCGGAACGTTATAGTAATATTTCTTAACATATAGATCCTAAACTATGTAATTTGCGCTATTAACATGTGAGATCCATATTTTATTACATAATTTTAATTTAGCCTCCACACTTGGATCATAGGACAATCGTAGTCAAATTGGTCAAATTATTGACTTAATAACTACAAATTTACAAGATCATCTTCCACAAAGGGCGACCATCATGATAAGAGTTAGAGTTGTTTCTAATAAATAAATATATATATATATATATATATATATATATATATATATATATATATATATATACACACACACACACAAATTAAGCATTATATGTGAAATTTATTGTGTTATGAATTGAGAATTGAAGATCCTGTATATATACTTAGGGTTTATCTTAGATGTTGTATCCTAGACAGGTTGAAGAACATATGATTTTTCATATATGATGATGCAAATCAATGGCTTGTTACGTATCTTACTGAGACATCATATTATATGCAATTGTAAATTACAGTACGTATGGATATGTTTTAAAGGATTGACATAAATTAATTTTAATTACGTGAGTGACTGCAATATAATTATATTCATATATGGGTTGTTTTAAAGGATTACCATATATTAATTACGTGAGTGCCTGCAATTGTATTCATATTTGTGTGATTGTGTCGTCCCTTCAATTACGTGAGTGACTGAAACTAAAAGACCAACATTTGTGTCGTCCCTTTATTCAATGAACTCGATCAATAATGGGAGTATGGGACACATTCATAGACTGATGATTATTGCATTGTATTATTAGTGCTTTAGTATTATGAGAATATGATGTTTGGTTGTTGATTCAGCCACTTAAGTTTAGAGACTAATAGTGATAATCATGTATGTGGACATGTTGTGTAGAATTTATTATGTCCACAGGTTACTGAAGTGTTAATTACGTACATCATTTTTTCCAAAAAGTTGAACCCCAACGTAACCCTAAGACCCCTCACACCTCGACCCGACAGAACATCTGAGAGGATATAAATCATGATACTTGATTTAAACTGTTATTCTGTATTGATTTTATAATTTTATTTATTATAGTATATTTATTTGATATTTAATTAAAATATCATTAATTTGTTAGTCTCTAAAGTGACTAAATTATAAAGTTTCATAGATTTCAAATTTAAATGAAAATCAATTGTCCGTGATTATGTGATGCTTATAATGAGATGGCATGATGTTAAATTTTACTGTATTTGCTATATTGAAGTTTAATATTAACTATATATATTTAAAAATATATGTAATACGACACTCATATGATATCGTGTTTGTATTTTATTAAATAAAAATATCTTTTTTTTTTATCCATCATACATATACATTCTTCATATATTCTGTCAATTTCATTTATCCATCATACATACACCGTTGATAAAATTTTTGAGAAAGTCATTTTAATTTTCATGTAATTAGTTATCACTTAACATTTAATTTAGGGAAAATGGCACTTTTTCCCCCTATGTTATATACTTATAGCACTTTTTCCCCCTCAATTATTTAAGCGGCTCTTTTTCCCCCTGAAATGTTAAATGGACATATTTACCCTTAAAATAAATATTTAATTTATTTTTATTCTCCAATAAATTATTACTATAATTTGGTTCAAACCAGATACTATAGTAACCAAACCAAAATATTTCAATTACAATTTATAATCAAAACGCGATATTTAGAGTTTATTAAAATCACGAACTGGAATGGGCGGTTCATGTTCCAAACTGAAAAAATAAAATACATTTATTGTTGAATTTAAACTATTTTAAAATAAAAAATAAAATTTTAAAATAAAGACGGTTCAAAATCGCGAACGGGATCCGGAACCGTCGGTTCATGATCCAGTTTTTTTTTTTTTTATTCTTAAATTTAATAAATTGAAATCCAAATATTGGGTTCTAGATCTGAATCATAACTGAAAACTTTTAATTCGATTGCTATAGTGTCTGGTTCAGTTCGAACCGAACCGTGGTAATCGCTACATATACGCAATAATTTGTTGGAAAAGTAAAATAAATAAAATGTTTACTTTAAGGGTAGAAATGTCAATTTAATATATTAGGGGAGAAAACCACCACTTTTAAAATAATTGAGGGGGCTAATGTGCTTACATAAATAATTGAGGGGGAAAAAGTGCTATAAGTATATAACATAGGGGGAAAAAGTACCATTTTCCCTTTAATTTACTAAACACTTTTCTATAATCAACTAATGCTTTCAACTAGTCAAGCTCACTAACCAATGCCAATCAATTAATAGCTATTTATCAAACATCTCAGAAAACTGAGGATTTCCAAGTCTAACTTCCTTCTTAAAATGTTTTGTTCAACACATGTCTATTCAAGGGATGTGGAATTAATAGCATGGCACTTTTAACAGCTATTTATCGTTGAACATTTTTAAATTATGCAATGCACTTAAATAAAACTTCATAGAACTGTACTCCCGAAAACATATGATGAGGTGGTATATTATGTGGAAAAAGTCTTATGTAAATTAAAAAATCAATTAATTAATAAATTAAGAAAACTGAAGGAAGCCAAGTTGGTTTCCATTGAAGGTGTCCTTTTAGAAACCAACGGTCTTAATTGGAGATCACTAAATTCATGGAGATTGTCTCGCCTCCAAAGATCTATAACTGAAACTCTGAATCTTAAACTCTAAAGAAATTAAAAAAAAAACTTATCTCATAATTAACACCTTCATCATTCTCAAAATACCCAAGTAATCTTTCAACCGAATTTGATTTGTTCATAAAGTTAATTGTAATATAATTTTTTAAAATTAAATGACTCAATTGTATTTTCGTATACAGTTTAGAGGTTAATTTAAATTTTATTTTGGATGATGACGAGGAAAATTTGTTTAGAGGTTGATTTAAATTTATTTTGGGTGATGACTAGAAAAATTTGTCATCGCTATTCAAGGGTATACTCTTACGTAGTGCGCATTTTACGATAGCTTTAGTGCATTACACACTCATTTAAGCGATCTTAGTCGATAATGAACCACAATACAATAACCCAATAGGATAGGCAACTCTCACGTGTAGTAGTGGTGCGCATCTTACGATAGCTTTATTGCATTGCAAAAATCATTTGACATTTTAACAATTCTTTTGTTGTCACATTCTTGGGTATAACGACATTTCTTTCATTAAAGGACACAAAGACGTATGATAGCTTTATTGCATTGCATACTCATTTGACATTTTAACAATTCTTTTGTTGTCATGTTCTTGGGTATAACGACATTTCTTTCATTAAAGGAGACCAAGTATCTCTCACCATAGCCAAGAGAAAGTAGTTCTCATCTTAAGGATAATGAGTTAATATTTCATCACCGGGGTTCAATTCTGTAATCTTTCCTTAAGAAGAAAGATAGAAATGTCATCTGAACACAAGGTGCTTGGTTGCTTAGAAGGTTTCTATAATATAAATAACTTATACAAGTAAATACATAATACACCGTGTAATTGTACCCGGGTTGGACTTCCATTTGGAAGATTATGAGTTCGAGCTTCAGTGGAGGTGTTAGGGCCAGTAACATTCAAAAAAAAAATAAAAATAATACACCGTGTAATTATTAGATACATTTTTTTCCCAATGAAACCATAAATAAAGAATTTTCAACAAAACTATCATTAGCATGTTTAAAATATTGTATTTTTTGAAAAAGTTTGATGATACATTTTTATAAAATATTTTTGCATACTCTTGAAATTATAATTAAGCAATCAACTATAAAAAGTTCCAATTCAACACTTTCATTTGAAAAAATGGGATACTTATTATTTTAGCCATTAAACTTATTTTTCAGTGACAACTTATAAAATGAGTCAAACTAATGAAACATTGTGTATTTTTATTGCCACTAAAGTAGATGAAAATTTATTTTATTTTAAAATTTTCAATCACCTTTGATAGTACTATATCTTGCAATGCAACACAATAAGCTTGTGAACTCTTATATTATACTGCGTAATTGTTTATGTTGTTGGTTGATAAATACTTTGTAAACTTTATAAGAGTTACATACAAATCCATTCATCTAAACATGTAAAGTTTTATAGTATAATGTGCTTAATTATTTAGTTATTTACATATCATAACATGCATCTTACTTGAGTAATTTCTGGATGTTAATTTTCATAAATGTTTGGATCTGATAGCATAATTTGCATTTTACTTTTATAAATGTTTGTACCTGGCACATGCAATGCCATATATATTTTCGACAATTTATAAGTATAATGTTTTATAATTTTTATCTCAATCATTGCTATATTATTATGTGGTTGAGATACTGCAGAGGAATTCAAAACATACATTGTTTTGAAAGCGATTTGCTACCCACTCAAAAGATTCTTTAGGTGAAAGTGAAAACTAAGAAACAATCCCAGTCTTAATATCTGAAAAATTAAATGGATCAGATTAAATTTTTTCAAAAAATTGCTGTAATATTTTTGTAATTATCATGAACTTTGTATACAAATTTGAACACTAAATTAAATCCGCACTTCTCATAATTTTCCAAGTTTGTATAATTAGTGTTACAAAATGCACATTTAGTATTAAAAGATTGCAGTTGCAAAAATGCAAAAGTACATTACACTTAGAGTTTGAATTTTAGAGTTTATGACTACGTTTTTTGTTTTATTTGGTTTAGGGGTTCACTTTTTTCTGCTTAGAGTCTAGCATTTACGGTTTATATTTAAAATTTATGTTTTTCACTGATTTTTAAAAATTTAGCCAGAATTGCATATTTTGTTGTTACAAAATGCATATTTACGTAGTGTTCAAGTTTGTAAAATAAAGTTGACAATAATTACAAAAATACTATCACATTTTATTTTAAAATATGATATGATCTGTCTGATTTTTACAGGCTAAGATTTCTTTTCTCCTGGGGTGTGTGTGTGGCGCGCGTGCGTGCGTTTGCATGTAAAAAATTGAGTAAGATCTAAGTTGTTGATCTAATCTACATCAACGGTTATTGACCTTATTATGAGAGGAGGCAAGGAGGTTGATAAGTTCGTGTGTGTGTGTGCGCGCGCGAAGGGTCTCCCAGGTGAAAAACGGAGTAAGCTAAATATAAGTTGTTGATTTAATCTACATCAACGGTTATTAACCTTATGAGAGGAGGCAAGGAGGGTGATAAGTTATACTGTCCCTTGTTGGAGGACTGCTATTCCATGGCGGCAAATTTTGATAGGATATCCTTCTCCCATATCTTTAGGGACGAGAAGTTTTGTGCCAACTTCTTAGCGAATCTGGGTCGTCAAAACTAAGACTGGGGCACTTGGATCTTCAGTGATGCTTCGAAAGGCTTGGCGGTCCTGCTTGATCGAGATGCTGGGGTGCGTACACCCGCATAGTTAGATAGTTTTGAGGCTTAGCCTCTCTTTTCCCACCAAAAATAAAAAAATAAAAAAAAAATCCACATCAATGGTTTAAAATGAAGGAATTTTTTTTTTTTTTTTAAATTAAAGCATTTCCTGGCAACATGGATGCGAATGATCAAGTGTCTCGAATTGATGCATCTTAAGCTTCGAACTTATGCACCTTAAGCTTTAAACATACGCACCTTAAGAGTTAATTAATTGATACACCTTAAACTAGAAAGTGAGACACCATCTTTAAACATACACATCTTAAGTTATAAACATATGCATCTTAAAGTTTAAACTTAAGCACCTTAAGCTTTAAACTTAGGCACCTAAAATTATAAACTTACGCACCTTAAGTCGAAAAATAATGCACCTTAAGCTTTAAACATACGTACCTTAAGTTATAAACATACGCACCTCAAGCTATAAACTTACATACCTTAAATTAGAAAGTGACACACCTTAAACTTTAAATATACGCACCTTAAGCTATAAACTTACGTACCTTAAGTTGTTAAGCTTTAAACTTAAGCACCTAAAACTATAAACTTATGCACATTAAGCTATAAATTTACGCACCTTAAAATTTAAACTTACGCACTTTAAGTTTTGAACTTATGCAAAATTACTATAATGCTACCCCATTTATATTAAAAAATAAAAAATAAAAATCTTCATTCTAAGCTGTTGATTTTGACTAGATCAATGACTGAGATTTCATCACGTTTTTTACCTGAAAACCTCCTTCGTATTTGATCTCTAGTGTGTATATATATATATATATATATATATATATATATATATATATATATATTTTTAGGAATATAGCGGAATAATGCGGAAGCAAAGAATCAAAAATTGAGAATTATAGAAGTTAGATAATAGAAATAGGGTAAATATATAAATGACAAAATAATAAATTGATGAATTGGGAAAATATAAAATATATATATTAAACTCTCAATAGAGAATTACAAGAAAAATATATATATCTATGTATGTGAGAGAATGCAAAGGAAGGAAAGAAGAATTCAATATTGAATTGATGTATGTTGAAAGCAAAGATAAGCTTGCTATTTATACATAGAATGAAGCAAGAAATGCGGCATGCAACTTTGGACGTCCCGAAGTCAAAGGACGTGCGAAATGGAGATGGTGCGCAACGTGGAAAAATGGTTCATGGTCTTTATGAATGAATTTGAATTTGATCCACATCAAACATATATATATATATATAATTTTAAAATTTTCAACCAACTAAGCTACTCAAACTAATAAACATATATATATAAAGGGAAGGGGTGAGGTGGGGCGGGGTGGGGCGGGGTGGGGCGGGGAGGGGCTGCTTCCACTGTCCCCATAGTGGCTCCGACCTGAATAATGGACTACATGTAAAGATTGCTAGGCAATCTTGGTTTTGCAAGTGCAAAGAGTGGATTTTCAAGAAAGAGGTCATGTTTGGACTCGGTTAAGTCTATGCATGGCAGGTCAGCTGGAACCCTCCAAGTGAAGCCTTGAATAAGCCTAGCCATTAGCATGACAGACATCAAAGAACCTAGCTTCACTCCTGGGCATCCTCGTCTCCCGGCACTAAACGACATCATCTTCAACTCAGAATCAGTTAAGACCACATCCTCACCGTTGAGGTGGCGCTCCGGCTTAAATTTGAGGGGATCCTCCCAGGCTCTTTTATTCCGGCCTAGTCCAGTGCGGCTGATGATCACTTGGCTGCCTTTGGGAATGAAGTAACCACCCACAACTGTATCCTTTGTGGACAAATGAGGAGGGGTGAAGGGTGCGATTGGGTGGAGCCTGAACCCTTCTTTAACACAGGCTTTTATATAGTTTAGGTTAGGTAAATCGGATTCTTGAACAAGCCTCTCCCTCCCCACCACGTTGTCTACCTCTTCCACTGCTTTTTCCAGTAGTTTTGGTTGGTTTATCATCTCTGCCAGTGCCCATTCCACAGCATTCGATGGATTGTCCAAAGCTGCTATCATTATTTCCAGAACTTGTGTTTTGATCTCTTTATCACTCAACATTGGTCTTCCATCATTATCCTTGAGCTTAACAAGAACATCAACGATGTCTTCTTCCACAGTTTTAGTCCCATCTTTCCACATTTGTATCCTCTCGTCCACTTGGGTATCAAGGTGTTTTCTCGTGACCGCCAGAGCTTTGGTGATGATGCTTTTATGGCCGTCGAGATCAAATATACTCAGCCACGGAATGTAGTCGGCCACACCCAATCCATAAAGATAGCGAAGAATTGTGAAGACGGCCTTAAGCAGCTCTTCATCTACGGCACCGGGTCCTCCATCTGCCGCCCCACTGCCAAAGTACCTCTTGTTGAACAACATCTTCTTAGTCACATTTCCGCAGTAGTGTCGTGTGGCTTGTCGGACATCAACAACCGCTCCCATGGCGCTGGCCTCCGAGATCTTGCACTGGTTGTAGATGAAACGAAGGAGATGATCGGCTTCTTCCACCCTTTTATTTACAAGCCAGTGCTGTGTGGCCGGAGAAAGCACGTGGGAGGTGAGAATTCTTCGCTTTTTCGTCCACTCCTCGCCGTAGGGGAGAAACAGCGAGCTCAAGTATCCGTTGCTGATTAGACCCGCAGACATGCAACGGGGTCTTGACGAGAAAATGGAGTCTTGCTTCTTCAAGAACTCGCGAGCCAGCTCCGGGGACGTGACGGGAATCACGTAGGTGCCTCCGAGACGGATGCATGCGATTTCAGTCTTCATTTCATCCATCACGCCGTGTATCCACCGGAAAGCAGGCTTGTTCCGGAGAATCTCCGGGATAGATCCCACAAGAGGCCAGGGTTTCGGCCCCGGAGGAATTGACAGTGACGACGAGGACGACCCGTACCACTTCTTTGTTTTGTAAATTAGCCATTGGATTGTGACACTAAGCATTACAGTAAATAATGCCAGTGGAAGAAAGATAATGGAAGAAAATCTAAGGTAGCGCATAAAATCAAAGATGGGTGCCATTTCCTTTTTTTTTTTTTTTTTTTTTTTTTTTTTTTTTTTTTTTTTTTTGGGTCTATATAGGAACTAGTAAACAGAAGTAGTGAGTAGTGAGCTTGGTAATTGGGGAAGCAGTGTTTGCCCTATTTATAGTTGTTGGAAAGCATGGATGCCATGCACCTGAGCGGACATTACTTTTGTCCTTTTTTAGACAAACGAAAAAAGGAGGGCCAAGGACCAGTCAAATGTTAACAAGTTGCACCCTTATAAGGGTAGTTATGGGATTGAGTTTCACTGAAGACAATATTAGTTCTTTGTACTTCAATAGGTTGAGAAAATATAATTATGAACAGATATTGTATTGTACTAGAGTCACTAAAAAAAAAAAAAAACACGAGTATTATCTATTAATTTCCTGATAGGAATGGGCATAAAAATGATCGTTGTAGCCTTGGAACCGAGTGAATGGAACACACCCTAAATTTAGCATGCGAATGTTTATTTGTACCTGATCTGACAACATGCATATTGTCAACAATTTAAACATGTGAAATGTTATAATTGTTTTATACTTTTAATCTCAATTATAGTTATATTTTGTGGTTGAGATAATGCAGTGGGCTTCAATATTGTTTTGTAATGCAATTTGCTATCCACTCAAAATATTATTGGTTGAGAATCCATACACCACAGACCACATATGATTGTATATGCCGAATCTCTTGTTCTTCCACGGTGTGCAATCCCATAAGAACTCCATGCTCACCGACTGAAATGTTGTACTGTTCGTTGAAAATGGTTAATGAGATAGATGGCTTGGAGTTGTCCCTCACTTTGTAGTCACATTTGAAACCACAAATTCATAAATAAATGGTCCATAATTGTCAATCCCCCGGGACCATAATAAATAAAAAGAGAAAGGGTTTACTTGAGGTTTTAACCCAACACAAGAAAGTTCTTCCACAGTGTGCAATCACATAAGAACTCAATGATCATGAGGTAGATGACTTGAAGGTGGCCACAAATTCATAAACAAATGGTCATAAGTGTCCCCTCTCCAACTAAAGACTTGGGACCATAATAAATAAAAACGAAAAAAGAAGAATGGAACCTTTTCACCCTCATCATTTTAGGATTTGATTTGCACCTCTTTCCTTAGGTACAAGAGAAAACCTCTATGTTATACAATTCAACATGTCCCTAAAAGACTCTTATATATAGTGGTTCAAACCAATTCTCTCAAACCAAGGTGCAACAATACTTTTACATACAAATCTTTTCCACCTTCATTTTCTAACTCAAATGGATCTTGTTACGAAGAACTCGAATCCACTTTAATTTGACCCGACCCAAATCGAAAGTGAATCCTGCATATATTTGTGATGCCACTTAAATGCATTTTATGCTAAAAATTCCTACAAATATAGTAGCTAGCATCCAATTACTCCCTCCTTGCAATGTCTGATGGACTCGGAGTCCATACTCAAATATTATTTACATGTCAAAAATACTCAATATAATTCGAGCTAGAGGGATGGCAAAGTCAAATCAAAATGCTGAAGTCCTGAAGGTTGCTTTGAGCAGAGTTTGCAGGATTGGCCTTTTTGAAAACCATTAAAAAATAACTAAATTCTTAAGAATCTCAAGTCCGCTTTTATTGCCCATCCAATATAGGAACATCAGATGGGCAATTATCTAAGGAAGAGGGATGTTGAACTCCTCTATTTGAATTTTCGATGTGATGATCCCATATCACAAAGGACAGTGGCTCCCCATTGTTGGTTTGTTTGATTTTTGTATTTTTTTTTTTATTATTATTGAGTATTATTTATTTTTGTGTCTTTTTTTAATTATTATTATTATTATTATTATTATTATTATTATTATTATTATTATTATTATTATTTATTTTTGTGTCATTTTTAATTATTATTATTATTCTTATTATTAATGTCTAATGAGTTAAGCGTAAACAATTTATTTTACCAACCACACTTTATAATATAACCACCTAATTACTATCACAAGGTCAAATGAGCTAATACTTGGATCACAACAACCCCAACTAAAAGTTTGTTACTTTGTTGACTTGATAATTATAAGTTTGACAAGTTTTACTCCTAATTGGAGCCGGTAAATTTTATAATTTAAATGAAATTAAATCACGACAAGTAATGTAACAAATGTCACTCTTTCACGGCGGCCGACACATTCATTCATGTTCAAAAAGCGGCAACCAATCGAGATCGATCATCCTTCACATTCCGGTGATTGTAGAGATGACCACGGTTCGGTTCGAATCGGATATTCGAACCATAATCGATATTGTGCTAATCGAATTAGAATTCTAAGGTTTCAATTCTGATTATAGAAAATTTGAAACTGAAATCGCCGATTCTGATTAAGAACCTTGAATTTAAAATAAAAATAAAATAAAATAAAATAAAATGGCCAATAAGCCACTAGGCCAGTGGCCTACTGGCCACTTTTGCCACGTGCAACAAACAACATTAACATATAATTTATTTAAAAAAAAAAAAAAAATCCGGTTAGTTCTAACCGGAACCGTGTCATGCCCAGGTGATTCGCCTAAAGATTTGTAGCTTTCATAGGAAGAGGTTGTGGGTCACCTTAAACGTACTAAAATTGCATTTGCATATGTGCAGCGTCACGTGCAGAAAGCTAGTGAGAAACGTGCTTCACATTTTAAAATACACAACGTCAGAAACGGCTAGGGCCTAGAGGTGTTAACCCTTTGGTTTAATGGCCACAGACTTAACTTTCGGGGTAACGGATTGTGTCGGCACAGTCCGGCCCCGCCATATTATATTATTTCAAAAACAACAAAAAACAAAAAACAAAAAAAAAAAACAAAAAAAAAAAAACAAATTGAATACTTTAATCAACAACAATTTCGCATCCAAAATAGATCAATGAACTTATGGCCTAATGGTACTAAATGGATCTCTCATATGGGAGGTTATGTGTTTGAGTTTTAGTAGAGTCATTATTAAATTTCTGTGCTTCATAGTTTGAGAAATTAATTATGAACATACACTATATTGTAACAGAGACCACCACAAGGGAGTTTTTTGCACTTTTAGTCCCACGACTATAGTGGCACTGGCAGAATTGATCCACGACTTTTGAACCTTGCAATTTTAGTCCACGACTATTGATTTTTTTTGCAAAAATGGTCCTTCCGGCCACTTTTCCGTCAAAATTTTACCAGAAAAAAAAAATTCTCCATTTTTAGCCGGGTTAAAATTGACATTTTACTTATCTCAAAAAATTAAAAGAAAAAAATTGATATTTGACTACATACAATATTACTGGGCTACATACTACTGCCCCAGGCGGCGGAGTTCCTGGAGCAGGCAGGGCTGTCAGTAAGCGGCGGAGCGGCCATGGCGTTTCCCGGGCTAGTTGGGTTATCCGGCAGCAGCATTGGACTGCTCCAGGAACTCCACCGCCTGGGGTAGTAGTATGTAGCCCAGTAATATTGTATGTAGTCAAATATCAATTTTTTTCTTTTAATTTTTTGAGATAAGTAAAATGTCAATTTTAACCCGACTAAAAATAGAGAATTTTTTTTTCCGGTGAAATTTTGACGGAAAAGTGGCCGGAAGGACCATTTTTGCAAAAAAATCAATAGTCGTGGACTAAAATTGCAAGGTTCAAAAGTCGTGGATCAATTCTGTCAGTGCCACTATAGTCGTGGGACTAAAAGTGCAAAAAACTCCACCACAATGTTTGGCTAATTGAATTAGTAACAGTTTTATAGAGTACATGCACCTAAGTGCAAAGTAAAATGTATTATAATTTATAAGTGCAACAATATAATATACATCATGCAAATCCAATAAAGTAGCTCAAGTGTCAAATGAGCTCTCTTTGTGACAGTGAGATTTGGGATAGCCTTGGGTTTGATTCCCACAAGTGATGATTTCTTTTGGGCCAGCTCCTGTGCCTCTCAGAGCGAACCGGGTGGACCGACAGAGAAAAACCTGGACCACATTGTGGTTTACACCAAAAAAAATATACACCAAGCAACAATATTAAGAATTTATCACTAGGTGCACCAATGTTAAAAAGTAAATTACATTATTAAAAAAAAATACCATTGTATTTTTTTAAAATTACATCCGTTAGATTTGGACAGATGGGCACCTGTGATTAGTTCTCATTCCTCTCATGCGCACCCGTTCTGATCACCTGAATGTGCCATGTTGTTAGGTGTGGTCATATGGTCAATTACAGGCCATTAGATTAGGTAAATCCAATGAATCACATTAATCAAGATTCTTCCAGTATTTTCGCGCACGTTCTCCTACGCAGCCAACTGTAAGGGTAAACTCCTCACAGGGCACCCGGAATAAGGGAAATCACATTGTTGTGTGTTTTATTTGTGTAATTGGTGCATTATTAGCCTTACTCTGGTATATTTGTAGATTCCCATTGGTGCCAAGTTCAGGTGCGGCAACGCCTTCCCGTGTGGTCAGTGCGGCCGCACAAATTGTTATACAAATATACATCATCCATGTTATGAAATGCACAACAAAAAATATACACAAATTAGGTACGCATCACCAAAAACGCGCCATTAGATATGAATAAATACATCATACAGTGTTCGAAAATATACTATTGGTGTGCTTCACTGTAGTGTGTTTTATTACACTATTGGTACATGTTGTCAACACTGTTGTTGTATTCTGGAACCCGGCCGCTATATATATATCAATAAATTAATTATAACAAACATCACAATTTAGTATAGATGTTCTAACGATAGAGTTCTCCGATCCATTTGATGAGGTTGCTTTTATACTCACGTCACTAATAAAGTAGACAAAAAATATATATATACTTTTCAATTTAGCAATGCTCTTCTTTTTTCTTTTTTTTTTTTGAAAACAATTTAGCAATACTCTAACAGCACGTTTGGTTCATATAATGGATTTGGAGGGAATAGGAACGCTATT